GGCACGTAATCTTACTGTAGTGGTGATCATAGTCAATCGAGGCTTGACAAGTTAATGTAATTTTTGGTCCATCACAAGGTGAAGACCCCAAAACTAGTGTAGCTCAGTCATCTGAACAGAATGGTACAAATGGTTGTGGACGGAATAGAAGAATCATTTGCTTAACGGGCTTCCACGTCTAGTAGCAGTAGATCACCAATACCTCCAGGCATGAACGTAGTTCTATTATTGATAAAAGTGGAGAAAGAAATTGACAAATCATAATAGGATGTTATCTTTAGTCCTTAAGAATATGTCAATTTTTCTTTTAAAGAACTCCTGGGAAGTCGCTTGGACTAGCTCAATTGGCAGCGAATTGCAGCATTTAACTACTCTTAAGGAGTAGAATTTGTGTGTACAGTCAGTTATGCCGAGTTGTGTCCACAGTTCCTGGGTGTTGCCTCCTAGGTTTATGTTGGAGATAAGCTTAAGTAGTGATTGAAGTAATGTTCATAAGTATTGAAGATAATGTAAGCCATAAGAAGGTCACCTCTAAGACGCCTATACTCTAACGGGTAAACGTTAAGTGATTTGAGGCACTCTTCGAAGGCCCTAAATTTATGTTCTCGAACTGATTTCGTGGCTCACCGTTGGATACACTCCAGAGTGTCATTATCCTTTTGAAGTGAGGAAGGAAATAATATGTCTCCATACTTTAAAGGGGACGAAGATTATGTGGAAAGTTCTCCCGAAAAAAATGGCCCAAAATGCGCTTCAATGTTACCAGTGAAAAGGTTTGCTCGAAAGGTGTTTTTGCCGCAGTTAGCGTGAGACTTCAAATCGTAAGTTACCAACATTCCTAAATCTTTTTCGATTTGAGATACTTCTAGATAGTAGTTTCCTAAGCTGTGACTGTAGTCTGCAACATGTCGCAGACTACTTTGCAATTTGAATTGTTGAAGGCAAGTCCGTTGTCGTCTGCCAAAGTTTGAAGTCAAGTCAGATCCTCCTGAAGTGCCAGTATGTCCTTTTGGTTGCGTATCTCTCTCCAAAGTTTCACATAATCAGAAAAAAGTATTAAGTCAGACGAAACTTGTTGTGGAAGATCGTTTATATAAATCAAGAAAAGAAAAGGTCCTAGTAATTAGCTCTAGGGTCCCGATCAGGATATTCAAGGTATTAACGCCTGAAAGAAATGTGATATTGTAGGTGGTATTAAGTCTTTAAAACCCAGGGTTTGGTCAAATGATACTTACTGATGAATTCAACACCCCGTTTTAAAGTCTCAGAAAGCAGGACATAACACTGGGTGATTTTTCGCGCAGCTTGTTATACGCACTGAAAATATCAGACTATGTGGACAAGAAGTTGAGTCTACGAGGTGGGGGAAAGACAAATATCTTTCTAAATTGGATTACTTACCTACAAAAGATCATCTTGCTGTAGGAGACGTCCGTGTCTGTAACCGAATAAAGAATAGGGACACCACACAATCATATTTGACGTGATCAGATATGAGACATTTAGAATTAAAGGGAATGCTCGCCACTATTCATCCACCGGAGCAGACTGCACAGCCATGACGGAGCAGCTTGAACAGGCCACATGACCTCAAGATTGGTGGTCTAAAAGTGAATGACTACTGCGAGGTAGTGAGGTAAATTATTCGTGAATCTATTCTGAGCAACCCAAATTGAGCAAATACACTTTTGGAAGAAGATCGTGTGCTAAGCGGAACACAAAGTCCAGAAGAAAACCCCGGCATGAATGGAAAGTTATCCTAATGGATTCTGAGCGTAGCTCTCACTTGACACTGGGGGAAAATGATGCATCAATGTTTGAAGGAGTATAAGATGTTTTTAGGCCAAGCCAGCAGCCGAAATACAAGCTAACAATAAGTGCCTGTATAGATTTGAGAAACCTACAAACCAGGGGACATTTGCTATCAAAGAACCAAATACTGATCTTACTAACTTCTCTAACTAACTAAACTAGGGGATTATGAACACAGAACACCCCTCAACTCTAGTTTCATTTGATTGGCTGGTCAAAGTACCTCATTTTAGTACTGAAGAGACCGGGAAGTTCAACAGGCTGTGACAACGTGTTCCCTATGATCGTGTAACAGTCTGTGGAACCCATTAGCACATCACTGTCTGACCTTTTCAGGCACTCACTAGTGTCACATCAACTATCATGTGAATGGAAACAGGCTACTCTCTCTTATATTCAAGATATAAAGGATCCAGCCTGTTACAGACCGGCGGTATTATTCCCAATGCTGTCGAAGGTAATAGAAGGAATGGTCAATGAACAAATGAGGGAATACGTGGATAAAGACAACAATCTCAAAGGAGCCGGACATAGGTTTAGGAAAAACAGATCATGTGCATTCAACCTTGTTATAGTATGAGACAGCTGGACGACCTACTTGTACTAAAGGATACAGGTTCATGTAATACCCCATGACTTCTTTAAAGCCTTCCTCACTTACTCCTCCTAGAGAAGATTGCAAAGATGAATTTTGCTGGTTTAATTTTATGCTGGCTCCAGAACAACCTAGTGGACAGGATCATTTGTACCCAGGTATATAGAGTGCTAGAGGGTCTCAGCATCTGGAGTTAAACAGTGACAGTCTTAGGTCCTTGAAATTTTAAAATGGTCTGTTAGAAGTTAGATCGACACTGCTCTCTGCAAACTATACAAATGTCTGGATGTTCACAAAAAACGAAGAGGATCTGCCTGAGCCTCAAACGGGCCTTACAACAATTGAGGAATGATCCGTGAACAATAGCTTTGGATGTTAGATCATGAACATACTGACTCATAGGACACAAAGCAATTGTGGTCTTCATGGAAATCCGCTCCCATTTGTCTACTCAGAGTGTAGCATCCAGCTTGTAATCACAGAGAGCTTAGAGACCAGCTCAGTCCATATAGAGGATTCAGCCAAAGGAAACGAAACTCTAGCTTTTACGAGGAGATAACTAGCACAATCACCTCAGAGTTGTCCCTAATACCTTTTAACATGCGTACAGCCTGACCCTGAAGTCTGAAATATTGTTGCACTCTCTCCTTTTGAAAGAGACATAAATTACTTAGTTCGCGCGCAGGAACGGGCAAACAATCGGGAAATATTCCTCAGGAGTAAATCTTTCGACGAAAAACTCTAACACTTGTGATTATGCTCTTTGGGCTGTAGAAAAACAAGAAGTGATCTGATAATGCCATAGAACATCGCAAACACACCAAGCTAACCCAGTATGAGTATTCTTAAAGAACAAATCAATTGGTTTATGCAAGTCTGTGCCTGAGAAGTTTGATACCGGATTGTGGTCGCGGTCATTTTAAGTTTGGCGTTGCGATGGTTTGTTAATAGTTTGTATTATAAACAGTTTATTGAGTTGTGGCCAAACCCCTTTCTTCATATCTTCAATTGGACACCTATAGTTATTTATTTCAACGCCACCCTACTTATAATTGTTACGGTCTGCGATTTAATTGCTCAACCTATTTTTTCCATTGATCTCATCTACTTCGCGTTCTTATTGACCAGAAGTGGCTTTTCTTCTGTCTCCAGAACGCACTATAATTTATAATGTCATAATTTTATTATATATTCACATATCACTGCGTGCATTTTCATTGCACGTACTGAAGTAACATGTGATTGGAAAACCTACACTTACATTGTCTTGTTAGTGTTTTTCTTACTGAAATACTCCCGTCTTGGAAAACCGCCAGATATCTTCCAAATCCTTGTTCCTCAGATCCTCGTCCTATTTTTTGATTTTTCCTTAGTAATAGTGATAGCAATTAGTTGCACGCCGGTTATTATCAAGGTTTATTAACTTGGTACATTGGTTCATCAGGTGTCTTGAAATACCTCTCCATAAACATAACAAATTTTTTCGTCGCATTGTAAACTTCTATCGGCCAAGATTGTTGGACTTCACACTTTATGTCTGTCGACAGCATTATAATTTATTCTCTGAACCTCGACTAATTATTAGGTTCAAAATAGGGTTTTGGATTAGTTAAAAGGATTAGAATCAGGAGCTCAAAACCAAACCCACGAATTTGTATTCAATTACTGTGTTGCACCAAGATGTAGATTAAAAAACAACTGCCACACGTAAAGGTCACCACTGTTTTACACTTTTCAATTTTGCGTTTTTTGCTCTTAACTTATATTCAAAAATACGGTAGTTTATATTTTGCGTTCAATTTAATACATTTTAAAATGACATCAGAAAGGTAAACAGAATGTTACTAAAGTTAGAAAACACTGTTGAGGGAAGCTTGACGAACTGATCGATTAATTAGTCTTTTTTTACTCAAAATAAGGGTTGGTGTAAATGCAATATAGTATTTTTTTTAACACCATCAAGCTCTAGCTAGTGAGTTGATAGCACTTCATATAGGTCTGACAAACATCTAGTAAATTGAAGGACTTAGTACCTTGACCTAACTTTTTGTAAGGGTTGAAAAACCATCCATGGAACTGATACTAATATACTCCGACCTAGTTTGGCACACCACGTAGCACGTCAGTTGAGTAAATCAACATGATAAAATGTAGAGTAGAAACAGTAATAATTACAGTAAACATAGGATGAAAGAACAAAAACTTCATTTCTTTTCAGCTAACATAGGTCATCTTTCTAGGCATCAGTTTAGTGTATATGATTCGTGTCTCAGTTATCTCAATATTTCTCAATATGTTAAGTGCTTTATTTCCTCTGTATAAATTCAAGAGTTTGATATTTCATTCCCGTTGGCTTTTAGATAAATAAATAAATAAACCAGAAGCGAATTTTAGGTCTAGTATGAGAAGCAAGTTAAGAGACACACCAAATAGGTATGGAATTCTTTTTCCCAGGGTACTTGAGTGGGAACTGGATTTTCTTGATGGTTTTCCGTCCTTTTATATGACTGTGCTGTGTCTCATAAACTCTTTTTTTTTCTACTTCGTAGGATGACTCTTACAACTTTTTGCTAGACTAGTTTTGCAGTCAAAGATGATGAACATCCCTAAAAAAGTCAATATAATTGGTAAATATTAACTTAAATTTTGTTCATTCTACTTGTTGTTGTCAGGCATTCTTTTAACCAGTATTTTCACTCGGTAATTTAATCCATTGTGTTAAATGTGATCATTTTTGCAATTTTCGAATTAATATAAAACTCTGTTACCCACAGTGTTATATTTCAAACTAATTGTCTTGGAAATGTTTCTTCATAAACCCTTTCGTATTCAGTAATCTGTTTTAAAACATCATAGAAAGCTGTCTGGATACACGGAGCCATTTATCAAATTTCTTGAGTTCCTGTGAAGCTTTATACTGCTGGTAGCCTGTTCATAACCTGTAAACTTTATGATTTCATTTTCCTCGCTACCAACGTAAACACTTAGTGTTTCCCTATAGTCTGCATTGGTATTCAAAATGATTAAATTTATTTGTTAAATAATATATTTTGTTTAGTTTGCCACCATTCAGAAATTTATGAACTAGTATTTCAAAAAAATTTATTGAAATCATAGTTGGAAGTTCAGCTTATTATTCATAGGTGTAATCAGTAGTTCATTTATTTATTCATAGTTACGTTTTGTTTAACATTAATTTTATGCGTAATAACACAAATTTTACGAATCTCATGTGGCACATTTTGTACGTGCACGTATCCATTCGATAATCAGTTAGTAGTGGCCAGTTATTCTGACTGCTAGTATTTGTTCATTGCAAATGCCACCAGTTGTTCGGTTAACTGAATAAACTAAATTCTGTAACTATCAGTTTGTTTGATCGGTCACCTCATTCGGGCGTTCGTATAATGCTTTATCAGTCAAATGATCAAACATGTGGACCACAATAATTCGCGTTTTCCAAAAACAATTTTCTGTCATTTTTATTCGAGCTGCTCTCACACAGACATTTCCATTCAGAAATGGGCGCATCAATTTGCACATGAGTTGAAGAAATATTGTGGCAAAGTATCTAGTGTTTAGTCAAAAAGCAGTAACCATAATTTACTACGTATGAAGGTTAAATGTTGACGTAACAACCGATTTCTCGACTCGGTAATCAAATGCTGATTTTCATACTCAAATTTATGACGTTTTTTATGTGACTACTAGTAATACTATCCAAGACGTGGCAACGTAAAAGAGATTAAGCCATTGACACAAACTCTTTAGCTAGCAATAAGAATACGATACTGTCCACTCAAACAATAAGTTGTAACAATAGTTTTCTATATTGGGACGATTGCAGTCTCTGTCCTACGGAGAATAAAACTCATATAGGTTGGTATACTAGTCTACGATTTACATCTTCCTATCACATCCCGAGAGACGAGATAAATGTAAGTGACTTTGGGCATTGAATACTAAGATTCCCGCATCTATATACCTATTTCTTATATTTACTTAGTAAATGGAGATCAGAATAACGGTTTAACCACTAAAATGTTGGAGTAGATTCGGTTTTTATCTGTATACTTCAGGCTATTTCTATAATCTTGGTTCTAGGCTTTTTCTACTCAAAGCTTGAATGTAAATTCACTTTTATTTGCGTATTACTCCACACTTCTTGTTAATCATTCAACATTTTAAAATTTGTTTTGTAGTACAGCGTGGGGAGAATTTGGAATACACTTCGTCACTTAAAAAAGGTATGTTTTGATATGTTGTTAGTGAATACATTTGTCCGATTAGATGAAAAAATATGATTATTACTATGTGGTCAGAGAGTCGATTGTGGTGATAGCCTATTAACTTAAACATTCAGTTTTAAATTAGTAGACTACGGGTTCAAACCTCATTTAGTCTTCTATATAAACAACTGAGCAGTATCGTTTAGTTGTAATGGAAAACGTAAGCAATAGACTTATACTTGACAAATGAGCTGATAGATTTATAGATAATAATTAAATCATTTGAAAACGAGGTTTCATCAATTAGCATGTCCTTTCATATTACTCTTGACTTCAACGATATATTTTGTTGGGGGTGATCCAGAAAATTTCTCGCAATAGACAAGAAAGGCTCAAGAAACATTAAGAAGCATTTTGTTCAATCAGCGTTAAGTAGAAGTTTTGCTAGAAACACCAAGAAAGTGAAAAGTCACATGATTGGCTGATTACTACACTGCTACTATGTGCAGTAGCATTTCAGAATTTTCAGAAAAACCCAAGGACTTCTAAAATACTATAAAAGCCCTATATTTTCTGTACATAAAGGAACCTTTGGAGTAAAGTGCTTATCGCATATTTTGCTCCTTTTCTCTTGTGTTCGAGTCGCTGTGTAGATTTAGCTTGGGTGTTACGAGACTAGCTGTTATAACGTATGCCCGAGTATAGCGTTCAATTAACAAGACTTATCAATTTTAAAGTTCAAGACGTTTAATGGGCTTTAAAGTGTTTTTCATCGTTTTTTTTTAAAAAAAAGTTCGTCATATGAACAAACGCATTATCTTCACATTGACTATAATCCCGTAATCCAATAACCTCAACTATACACTCGATTGTTTCTAGAATAATTATAAACTTCTGATAAGCAGCTGTTGCCTATCTTGTCTTCCTATTAGTAGTATGTTTGGTATAGAATAATAAGTAGTATCGTACTTGCCAGTTAATATGTTCTAGACAGCCAAGTGCTCATGGCAAGTCCTAGTAATTTTGTACTCAGTTTCATACGGTGGTTTACGTTAATTTACTGTTTATTATTGTCATAAAACTTTTGTGGCCCATTGATATGACTCCAATTTGATCGACCGGTGTTAACCAAATATATATGCCGTCAACCTTCGTACATAATTATTGATTTAATTCGCGTCAGAGAATAACAGAATAAGTCGAATATGGTAATGAATTTTGGATTCGTATATACCATACATTCTTTGATCTAAACAGACAAGCAGAGAAACGAAGTGGAGAATCAGACCGGAGAAGACAAACATGGCAGTTCGGTTTAGTCAAGCGTGACTTAACATTTGTAGCCAAACAATGATAAGCCGAAGATATGTGATGAATAGGGTAAGCGATGCATACATACGTGCATATAAAAATGGTCAAGGTTAGTAAGCGAATAATTGAAAATGTCAAAATGTGAATAAATGAGTTGATCTGTCCGGAATTTAGAATATAACCCACGTGAGCTTGACACAATGCTAGACACTACAAAATTTCATTTTAGTTCGATTAAACATATATTTTAAATAAACTTATAAAATAACTTAGGGTAAAAGGGACTCATTTTAAGTTATTTGTGTATATATAATTTTTTACTTATTGTCTTTATTGTAATTCATTCAAAGCTATGGATGTAGCATAATTTAAGGGGGATTTTATTTATGACACAAAAGTGCTTGGTGCAATCAAGGACATCAAGATATACATCAAAACTCAAGTATTATGAAATTTGTAGTGCATACTACGACATATCGGACTTATACCAGTTGGAATCATGCACAATTAACCTTGAATCTCTCACAATTATGTGTCGGTATAAATTACTGCATCTAACGACAACACTGTGAGAGAGGGCTAGAGATGAGTTTGTCCGTTACATGATCAGTAATCTTAAGTTGTCTTATCTTTGTACTTAACCACTGCTAAGGATTACTTAGTAGAGCAAAACCAGAAACTCAGTACATCCGAAAGAGCCTCACAGAAACAGTTTATAACTTCTTTGTATACAAATAAAACTCTCACTGTTTGATCATTAAAGGGTCTAGGGGCTCTCTGCAAAACTTATCTTTTTCGTCTGATCTGCAGTTAGTGGTCGAGTATTTTTATTTATTTATTTAAACACATAAATTGGTACAAGGAAGCACCAGATACATATGCGCCTCACAAATCTCATTTGATTTGTGTGAGGGCTGAGATACTGCTCAGGTGCCCAAACTGAAACAAGTGCTTTTCTTAGGGGCCCACACCCCGAGCCTTTGACCTGAAGGTCTAGTCCACAAGACAGTGGAGCATCTTAAGGAGATGCAGTCCCATGGTAATCGGTGACCAACGATTGGTTCATAGTCCATTTGTTCCCTCAGGATACTGAAGCCCATGTTCACCATTGGTTTGGAATGATGGTTTTCCAACTCCCCTAGGTAGACTTTCCGTGTCCACCAACCCGGTTAAAGCGCCAGACATTCGCTTTTCGTCCTCTCAATTTGGTAAACGACAGTAATATCACGAGAAGGCAGTGAGTAGGATTTCCCTGTCAGAGGCTATATATTCGCGTGGTCATGTGAGAGCATTTGGAGAGGGAAAGCTGACTCTCCCCACTCTCGACCGTACCAGGGCATTTAGGGGCAAGTGGTCGAGTAGGCAAAGACTAAGAAATAGCGGTGGCCTACATCTTGGTTCTTTCTAGTTCTTATACCCTCATTCAGTCGAATAACATACAGATGACTGTCGATTAGAATACTGTTCACAATTGGCTATCTTAACTTTGATCCTTAATATTGTGCTTACACCTTCGAAATCACTAGAGGTTGTTGTCGAATATTTCTGAAATGTGAATCAACCTGTACCTTCACATCGACTAGACATAAAGTCAAATGGGTAATCCGATTAGGATTTTATATGTTTATTCTAGGAGCGCATAAATTATCCTTCGATACCTTAAGTACCATGACCAAAAATCACTGACACTGACCCAGATGGATTCAATATTTAACTTCCCTTAAATCGTAGGGCTATTATTATTACATTTTGAAGTTAGACTTCTTGTTTTTTAGTTTTCCACTTCTGTTCATATTTTATATTGTTCTCCGTATTGCTTTCCATATGACTACTTTCCTATCACCGTGCTAATACGAAGTTCGGCAGCTTAAATTAATTAACGGTAGCCTTGGATACTTTCTTATAATTTTTTTGCTTGCGATTGTTATAAATCAGACTAATTTTTCCCTAACTACCGATCTTTGCATTGCAGCTAAGACTTTTTCGAATTAATTACCGTATCCGTTGTAATGTCTGGAGATAAGTGACATGTTACATAGATATTGGAATCTAATTAAATTTATTTTAGTCCAAACTTCAACGTCTATATCCCATACAGTGTTCATAATAACTGTTGAGGAGAAATAGATCAAATAGTTGAGCTATAACCTGAAGACTATTCCTTTCTTTTTTGTTGTAAGTAATCAAGTTGTTAATTTTCAACAACAGGCGTTAAGCCGTTTACAACAAAACAGATATTATTGTGATATACTCCAAGACCCAAGTAGTGGGGGACTTTACCATTGAATTGTTAATGACTCACGTTGTTAATGTATTATAAGAATAATTAGCCTACTGGTAATATAACAATTTGAAAAAATATCTGTTTGTTGGTTATATGATCATCGGTTGGTAACAAGGAGATTGCCATCCTTAAAGGATTGTTGCATTTCGAATAAGTTGACGTAAAATATTTATTGTAGTGCATTCTTCATGCATTTAAATCTTCATGTGATTCTTTAACGACATCATATGACTTTTCACCATCTGTCACTATCGTCGTCATCATCATCACAATAAAGGTTTTTTGTTATCATTGATATTTCTTGAGCCAATTTTTGATTATCAAATTTGTATAGTTTTGTGCTGTATAGTTTTACAATATACATTTATTATTATCCATATAATATTACTTTAAAATAGCCTCCAAAAGTCGTCGATGGCGCGTTGTATTTTTGGGTGGAGAGGTTAAATTAGCCTCAGAGTATGTTGATGCGGAAGATGGTCGCCCGATATGGGATTGTGAAGTGACATTGTAAGTGAAATTCTAAATTGGTAAACTTTATTACAATCCTTATGTAATAAATTTTTAAAAATCTTCATCTGATTAATTTAGTGGTTTGTCCCAAAATTTCTCCAGCAAATTTGTTAGACTGTGAAATGTTGGATTGTTTGTGTGTGTATGTTTTAAAAAGAATTCAATTCCCAACTGCTTTAGTAATCAAAGCTGTATAAACTATAAAACGATAGTCGATAAGTCTTACAATCGTCATAGAACTGTGAAATTATTGTCCAACAGAAATCGTATCACTGGTCTTGGTTTGAAAGAATTGACATGATTTCGATTCTTTTACTATTCATCTTGTTAATTTCATCTCGTCGTGCTAATGCGATATAGTAACCTGGGTTAACACATGTTTATTTCTGGCTTTGTTTTACTTATGAATGACGGTTTAGTCAATTGGCTTATATGAAAACTGATATCCTCGACTTCTTGTTCTTAGTCATTAGGACTGTAGCTAAATGTGCTATACTAGGTTTAATATGGTTAAACTACAGAATCTAAGAATGTTTTGTTCGGCAAGATATTGGAAATATGATCCTATCCAGGTAATGTGAAGCAAATGTTACGTGAGTAAGCTCCTGAAAATGTTGGGTTTCAGTTATTTAAGATGGTAAGTACTATGTTCTTGGAGATCATTATTCATATGACGGTTGTTTAGCAGTTTACCCTCTTTTCAAAATTGTCTTATGAAACAGTTATTCTAGTAAGTATAAACGTAATGAAGGAAATCTCAGCAAGTTTAAGCCACACAGAAGCCAGTTATTTTGCATATACGTAAGTAAGTATGCTATAAGTATGGTATATATTTACAAAAGATGTAACAAGAAACAATTTTTAATGATGCAATTGTCGTTCTGTTTTCGTAGACAATTAGTAAATGGTGTATATCTTTCTTCATGTTTTTGTTTTATCTTTTCTTAAATAGAGATTTGATTAGTCCATCAGATCCAATTACTTTACTTGTTATCGATGGAGATAATCATAATATCGGTCAAGTTGATATCCCTTTAAATCAAGTTCCACAAACTGGCAATCCAAATTTCGACCTATCACGGTTATGTTATTCCGATTTGAAATCAAAACGAAAAAATTCTAATGCACATGGACGTTTAGTTTATTGGATTTGGGCTATTGACTATTGGCCTCCAGGAACTCAAGCTAATACTACACACCATTCTAAATCATTACGTGGTTCACTTACGCATCTTGGTTCGAAAATACGTTCCAAGTAAGATATGTGTGTTTTATTTGTTCATTATCTACTCCAACTATCATTATAGATATTTGCCTACATTAGACTGAATGAAAATCTGGTGTGTAATAAAAGTTGAGCTTGATTTATTTGACTGTCAAGTATAATTTACTCATTATTATTTGTTATTATTGTACCGTGTATATGCGCGTGATATTAATTGCTTCTTATTTTTTTATTGAAAAAAACTTCAAACAACTTATTAGTTTCTATGTTCATTGTATAATATCAACAGCTATATTTTAGTTGATGAGGAACCACATTATATCATTAGTTGATCGAAGTTGTAATTTGTCGTTTGGGCCCCAATCTGATGGTTCTAATGGTTAAGCATCTGCTTCGAAACCAGGAGGTTCCAGACTCAATTCCCGATCGGGGTCTTATGTGCGCACTGCCGATGAGCCATATGTTAGGAAAAAATGTCTATTCAAACGCTTTCTAGTTTCTTTACGGCATCGCAAATGATATCAACGTTTAGCGACAATTGCCATATTTGTTTATACTATATACATATGTATCGTTTAGAGTTTATTAGGTCTAGGAATTTCTACCGATAAAACGGAAAAAATCATTAGGTATACATTATTTTTATTCAACTAGTGTTCACTTCAGACATTCTTGTTTGTTGGTTTACTACTAGGTGATGTATTATTATAATGGTTTCGGTTAAGTTCATTAAGATTAGTTTAATTTTTAGGTGGTACTTGGCGCAAATTGACAACAGTTTTGATAATGTCGTAAACTAGAGAGTACTGAATTTGTATTTAGTTGTATTATGAAATTTATTGACAGTTCTCAGTTATTACACCGTTAGTAATTGAGCCCAGGACTTTAATATCTACCTTTAGATGACCATTGAGTAGAAATGTAGTATTTTTACTTACTATTATCGTATCTTTCTTTTTCTCTTTTTGTATAGCAATATAGAATGTTATTGTTTAACTTTAATTTACTATAATTTTATTTATTAACTAGATCTAAGCGTAGATCCAAAAATGATATTGATTACACTAATGGTTATCAACAAAGTGGAATTAATGGTTCATCTTCTACTTTACAAGTACCCGGTATGTCATATAATCCATTTGAAAATGATGGTACTGTAAGTGAATTCAGTGGACCAATGGGTTTACCACCAATGTATCAATCACATTCAAATAGTCCATATGCTCAATCAGAATTTGGTGGATCACTTGCAGGCAGTGTAAAATCAAGTGAGACATTGTTTATTGCTGGGAAATATTTTTTGTTTATAAATCAATGTATAAATGCATGGTAGTTTATTTAAAATATACTTTAATTGGTTTACAAACACTTCATGTTATGTGGTAAAGGTTTTTCTTCAGTTTATGAGGAGGATTTTACGTGTTCTTTGTTTCGTTCACTGGGTTCAATAGTTTCATTATAAAGTATGTAGACAACATTGTCAGGATGTGCTTTAGAATTAGATGCATTAAAATTGTTCCACAGATCATTTTGTGAATGAAAAAAGTCCGGCTGGATTATCATCAATCATTGTATTTTCACTTTCTTAAAGTAGTCAACAAAAAGCCTCTAGACCTAGATTTTGTCCTAGATAATACTCAGCTCAACATGTTCTTCGTAAAATTTTTTAGTATATTTCACCCAATAAGTAGTTTTTCCTAGCGAGTTATTCGAACTACAATTGAGCTTCTGTAGAACTAAGAAGCTTTTTTCTACTAAGTTTTCACTGAACACACTAACCAGCGTTATCTTACATAGTTCTGAGTATTAATTGAATACTATCGATCAATTTTTTGGATGATTACTCAATGACCTGAGTGTCAAGTTTCCGAAATACTCTCTTGTCTTTGTGTAGAGAGATTTTTATTTTTATTTAAACACATAAATATTGGTACAAGGAAGCACCAGATAAATATGCGCCTCACAAATCTCATTTGATTTGTGTGAGGGCTGAGATACTGCTCAGGTGCCCAAACTGAAACAAGTGCTTTTCTTAGGGGCCCACACCCCGAGCCTTTGACCTGAAGGTCTAGTCCACAAGACAGTGGAGCATCTTAAGGAGATGCAGTCCCATGGTAATCGGTGACCAACGATTGGTTCATAGTCCATTTGTTCCTTCAGGATACTGGAGCTCATGTTCACCATTGTTTTGGAATGATGGTTTTCCAACTCCCCTAGGTAGACTTTCCGTGTCCACCAACCCGGTTAAAGCGCCTGACATTCGCTTTTCATCCTCTCAATTTGGTAAACGACAGTAATATCACGAGAAGGCAGTGAGTAGGACTTCCCTGTCAGAGGCTATATATTCGCGTGGTCATGTGAGAGCATTTGGAGAGGGAGAGCTGACTCTCCCCACTCTCGACCGTACCAGGGCATTTGGGGGCTGTGTAGAGAGAGCAACTAAAAAGTTTTTTTTTGACAAATTTTTTATTTCATGAATAATTATTTTATAAACTCTCGATGTATATGTCAATCTCAGATTCGTTAAGCTAATTATTGTTTTGTGTGTATGTGAACTAAAATTTAGATATGCACATTGTTATTTTGTTTCTGTGTAGTAGCCCAAATAATATTTAATTTAATTTGTTTTGTGTATTTGAAATAAAAGTATGTTTATCATTACGTTTTCGAAAATGTTTTTTTCTCTCAGGCAGATGCAATAAATTTTAGACATTTCCTTTATCTGCTTTTTTTCGCCACACCCTGTTTCATCATAAACTCAGTCTTTTTACTTTAATCTCACTTAGTCAGTATGGGATATATATATATATATATATATATTAGTATGGGACTTCTCAGGAGTTTTCATCTATAACCTCATCGGGAATTGTACTCGGGACTACCATCTCACGTGGTGAACGCGTAAAGTTAAGACCACTAACTTGATATCCAGTCATTTGGGGATATTAATCAACAGTATTTATTCCTTTGTTCGTTAACAAGTTGATTGTTTCTATTTTATTGTGTACACGTACATTTTATCAATAGTCTTCTGTTGGTTTTATAGTAATCCCACTATAATGTGATTAGATAGTTTAAATTACTGGAAACTGTCACTTCATTAGTTGTCAGTATTTGTAATTCGTTGACTACAAGCACTAAAGTGACTATTGACTATAACTTAGTGTAGTTTTATAATCCAGAATTTCATCAACTAAATGCATAGACAGAACAAATATTGATGTTCTGTCTTTATTTAAATTCATAAAGGGAACTAACTGCATAAATGCATAGACTTTGTTAACTTGCATTCGCTTACCCAAAAAATTAAGTGCGATACATTATTTAGTGGTTAAAAAACTTGAACGTTTTGGTCATATATTTTAATTTCTCTCTAATTTGGTTTTGGAAGTTTGTTAATATCACTAACTATTGTGCGAACATTGTAGCTGATACATGTACATTCAGCTGACGGGTCCCAAATAGGTCGAATTGTGATTCCAACTTCAATCAAAAGGTGTGACTAAAAGCCGATAAAGTAAACCTGTGCTCAGTAAATGAGTTTAGTTGTCAAGATCCGAAGATAGATTATTCTACCTTTCAACAATTCTGTCATCATTAAACGAATAAGATGGTTCTTTTCGAATATTTGACTTAGTCAGTAGTCATTTATTTTTATTGCTATGGATAGAGTTTAAATAAAGGCAATTGTTTGATCACTGAGTGTTGACCAATATGTTGTTTGCCTACTGTTGATCAAGTTCCATCGATGAGGTTGGGCTATGGTCACTAGTCAAAGTGACTCGATATCGCGCGCACTACGTTGAGATGTAGTTGACAGAAACTGTGGACGTAACTCTCCTAATATTTGACACTCTTCAACAAGATGTCCCTATAATCTTGTGGGAAGTGGTCCTCCATGGACAAGTGGGTCTCATATCATCCAGTTTAACGAATGAAGTTGTCGGTGTAAACTGATGGTGAATAAATGTTGTTTAAACTTGTACTAATTTCGATCTGGTTATTTATTCTCTGAAAAAGTGGCTTACACTGAGTCTCAAAACGTCAGAAAATCTAATTTTCTACTCATTGGGATATTGCAAATATTTCATTTATAACAATCTACCCAATCCTCAATTTATTCTAAGTTATCAAGTTGTCAAGGTATGTTTAAACGAATATACTATTGTGTCATGGAAACTAAAATATGCTTTCAGTGTCATTGACTTTCGTTCTGAGCTGTGTCAGGAGACATTGGAAAGTATTACACAGAAATTATTAACAGCAGCACATATATTCACTTTCATCTTTCTGTTAAAGTTGAACTGAATATCGTTTCATATTCTTCACAATTTTTGATTTCATTCGTTTCCGTTAAACTAGTTTGTATTTAGCTAACTCCTACCAGTGGGATTATTATTTTCATTCTATTTTCTATTTAGTTTTCTGTCATTGTGGTAATGTAGTGTAGAGAATTAAACGGATACACATGTGTTCTAGATTTTATGCTTTTTATGACTGTCTTAATCATGTCTCATATTATTCTAATCAGTTCACTAATCAACTGATAGAAATGACTTTTGTTTTACTTAAATGAACACATAGATGAATTATGCCTTAAACTTAATACATATTGAAACGCATTCAGTAGTATTCAACTTCACAGTGTGTTGTTATTGTTGTTGCAATAAATATCTATCGACTTTCAACTTCATTACCATACATTCTATAAATTAGCATACATTTGTATTAGTAATCGAATGTACACTTGTTTTATGCATGAAAAGACCGTATTTTCCTTATTTAAATTGATCACGATAGTTGTTTTTTTAAAAAGCTTGTTTACGACAATATTTACTTACGAATTGTTTACATATAGTATGTATCCGTATTTAAGCAATCATGTTTTCTTAATTATACAAATTGTGTCTTTCAATTCATATCTTGTCCTTTTTGGCATATGTCTAGAATCTACTGTGATTTATTGTTACTTTGTGTTTGTATAAATTTCTATATTTGTTCCTGGTTATTTGATTGAATATGTAACAGTCATTTCGTATTCTTTCATTATAACGCATAAGTTCTAGTAATAGTACGTCATTAGAACAATGCACCCCGCATATATGTAGTGATTACATTCATTTTACGACTTCTCTGTCCCATTTTCTCTTTATTATCTATAAGTAAATAAAAAAGACAGTTAACAATGTAGTCTAATGTAGAGATTCGGTCCTTGATTACGGCTAATATGACATACGACTGTGGTCCTTGAACGTGTAAAACCCTCAACTCGCAAACAAAAGGACATCACGCCAAGTTGATATTCTAGAAATCCTCTTGGGCTGTGACTGGGAAGAATTTCTTTGGATTCTTTAGAGTCTCCGAAGCTTTAATAACACTTTCTAGCATCCATCCCAACACCATGAGATTTTGCTTTTATTTGAAGATGATAACTTGTTTATGAAGAATGTAATTAGAAATTACAGCAGGATCGTCACTGGGTAGTTGGACATTCTGTATGACCTCAATCTGGGTGTCCGGAATAATAATGATAGTGATAATATTAATGAATTACACATCATTTTGAATGTTTTTACCAACCAATGAATTGGAATAAATCGAGCTAGCTGTTAATCAACAATCTGATGTGTGGATATTGTTTGCGTACCCAACAAATTAAGTGGCTTAGAAACATAATTTACCACAGAGTTATGAATTTGTTTTTTTCGTGACAAATGCCAATAATTATTGGTGAATTGTTACTAACAGTGGAATCCAGGACCCGCGATTCGTCCTATTCGGGACCGATCAGCTGGATGTATCTGTATCGGACGAGAATCGGTGCTTTCAACGTGGTATGGTCGCCGGCGCATATGTATCTGGTGCCCCTTTGTACTAATATGTATGTGTTTAAATAAATAAAAATATATTAATGTATCTGTATCCCAGTGTTGATTTCCGTACCGGGAATCAAATTATAGGATGCTGGTCCAGTGGTTTAGAGGTTAGAGGATCGCACTCAAGATCAGAAGTTCATAGTTCGGTCCCATACTAAGGTATGATAGCTGTTCAGTGGTTCCTAGTTTTAAGTGGTGGTCTAGCTAATATCAATTTGTGAATTAAACTATAGAAATGGATTTATGTTAGTTACTTATTCTCTATCTATTTGACTGTCGATATTGTTGAAACGATGTTTATTTGAAGGTATGTTTAATGCGCTATTGTTACTGTGGACAAAAAAAATCAATGCATAACATTAGTTTATTATTGTTTAGGAGGTTTATTTGTTTCCATGTGATGATTTCAAATTAGTGTATAATACAGTAAAAATTAATTTCATCATAAATCGTGACTTTCCATGGACTAACAATAGTTTATTTTTAAAAAAAAATAATTCAATATGTATACACGTTTTTGTTTAATGAAGTAATTAAAAAAAAAGTTAGATTAGTGCTTTCTATTTTATGAACTGGGTATTCATTACTATAATTAGAGTTTACAATTATGAGGTTTGTTAAAATTCGATAAAAAAAACTTTTATATTCCAAACGTTTTTAACTATTCACTTTTGAAAGGGGCTTGTAGAGCTTCATCATGAATTGATTAGTGTTCTCATTAAAATCATTAACAGCTTCTCAATAGGTTTATGAAACTTCTAAGCAATATATATTCAAGATTCCACAGAACAAAATCAACTAATGTTTGTTTTATCTACATATTTATAAAAATCTATGTTTTGAATAATTTAATCCTACTATTCTTTTGTATATAGTCTTATAGTCGTGAGATGTGCCCAAACTGAGGCAGGTGGTCTTCTTAGGGGGCCACACCCGGAGCCTTTGACCTGAAGGTCTAGTCCACAAGGCAGCGGAGCATCGTAACGAGATTCAGTCCCATGGTAGCCGGTGACCAACAGTTGGTTCATACGCCATTCGTTCCTTCAGGATACTGGAGCCCATGTTCACCATTGGTTTGGAATGATGGTTTTCCAACTCCCCTAGGTAGACTTTCCGTGTCCACCAACCCGGTTAAAGCGCCAGACATTCGCTTTTCGTCCTCTCAATTTGGTAAACGACAGTAATGTCACGAGAAGGCAGTGAGTAGGACTTCCCTGTCAGAGGCTATATATTCGCGTGGTCATGTGAGAGCATTTGGAGAGGGAGAGCTGACTCTCCCCACTCTCGACCGTTCCAGGGCATTTAGGGGCAAGTGGTCGAGTAGGCAAAGACTAAGAAATAGCGGTGGCCTACATCTTGGTTCTTTCTAGTTCTTATACCCTCATTCAGTCGAATAACATACAGATGACTGTCGATTAGAATACTGTTCACAATTGGCTATCTTAACTTTGATCCTTAATATTGTGCTTACACCTTCGAAATCACTAGAGGTTGTTGTCGAATATTTCTGAAATGTGAATCAACCTGTATCTTCACATCGACTAGACATAAAGTCAAATGGGTAATCCGATTAGGATTTTATATGTTTATTCTAGGGGCGCATAAATTATCCTTCGATACCTTAAGTACCATGACCAAAAATCACTGACACTGACCCAGATGGATTCAATATTTAACTTCCCTTAAATCGTAGGGCTATCATTATTACATTTTGAAGTCAGACATGGGGGGGGGGCAAAAAACATGGAACGCTTCACGATTTTGCTAATCTTCTCTGTATCGTTCCAATTTTAGTTTTTGTACCGCCGAAGCGAGTACAAAGTATGGCAACTGGCTGTTGCATTGTGGAAGTGCCGGGCAATCTTAACCCACAGCATTCTTATTAACTGTCTGAATAATATTCTGTGCTTTCATAATCAGATAAATGTGATAGTTATTAGTTTTTGACTTGAATGGCAGTTTTTAGTACTTTTAAATTTCCACTGTTAGTCACAATCTAACTTTAATAAGAATTAATGGCTAAATAGCTATGTGAAGGTAATTCAATCAGGATGCTTATATTTCATTGGTGATTAATCGTTTGGAGTCCTTGATGTCGACAATGAGGAAATACATTTCTTTAAAAATGGTTTCTTTCTGTTTAAATGTTGTTTAAGTAGAAATATTTAGAGCAAACTGTAGTCAAATATAGATGATTAGTTTCGACTTAACATGCTATTTGTCTTTTTCAGGTGTTATTTTATATCACTTAAGTGAATAAAATTTTTAATATAACTATACCATTAAATTGTCATCATCGACATAGAATTTATACGGTTGTATATACTTTATTTCACAGTTAACATATTGTACTTCATTCGATATTACTTTTCATTTCATGGTGTTATTTTACAAAAAAGCAGTTTTCTTTACGAAGTAAAATTAAAAATCAACCTGGTGCTGAATAGCTGTTTTTTTTTCATTCAGGACCCTTCTCTATTGCTTTTAAACATTACACCTCGTGGTGATTCGACACCAGGATTTTCAAAACTCGTGGCAATACATAATACTATAAAATTAATAAATGGAAATTCAATTTCGCACATCTGTTTTCAACCGGTTCACAATCCCTATTCGTGATAATAATAATAATCATTACTATCGTAGGGCCCTGAAATGCCCTTGTACCTCCAAGGGTGGAAAAAGTCCGCTTTACCTCTTGGAATGCTCTTACAAGGCCATACATACGCAGCCACTGCCTTCTGGTGGTAGGTGTATTGTTCATGAAATTGGGAGGACGAAAACGGAATGCACGGAGCTTTAACCAGGTTGGTGGATATGGAAGATCTACCTAGACCATTTGGGAATTCCTGATTCTAAGCCAATAGTGCACATGTACTCTAGGATCATGAGGGAACAAAAGACATAAATTTATTGTTCGTCATTGTCGACTATGATGATGGATCTCTAATGTTGCTCCAGTGTCTTGTGTTTTAGACCTTTAGGTCAAAGGCTTGGGGCGTGTCCCCATGAGAAAATCATCTGCTTTGGTTTGCGCTCCTGGACAATATTCCAGTTCTCACACAAATCGAATAGTAAAGCGTGGCGCATGCATGCATCTGTTTACATGCTTTAAGGCATAATGGTTACGAAATAATAAGTCAATCTAGCCCAGTCTCAATAAACTAATTTTAAACAAACTGATATTTATTAGAATACTGATCATATTACATATGATCTGCGTAATATTTGTTCGAGAAAAAAGAAAACCCATTATATATGTAACCATAATGCCTTAAAGCACTTTTTTTGAGTACATTATTCAAATATATGACTCACGTATCAATCATGAGGAATATAGCGTGTATCAAGTTACACAATTTAATCAATAATTCGTGTAAATCAATCACATTTTTATACATTTTCTCATTTGTAGTGAGTCCACTGAGAGATATTCACGTACTGTTTCTTTCATTTTCTTATTAAGAATGTCTATAAATGTTCTTTTTCTTTAATAGCTAAACAAAAAAATATGTTGAAGAAATTCAAATCGAAACTTTCACACAGTACACTTAATTTGGCTGAAGCGGCAGCTAAAAAAGCAGCTGGGAAAGATCCTTATTTTCAAAGTCTTGAAAAAGGGTAAGTAGATTGATGGTTCCATTCGCATACTTCCTTTTTTTATCATTGAAAAACTGTTTCAACGTTGTTTCATAAAGTTTTTCACACAATTGTGAATAATCGTTACAACAGAAATATAGTGAATAGTTTTAATACATGTTAATTATTTCTTGTCAAGAGATAACTTAGCATTTTACTTACTCTTGACTTTCTGTTCTAACCTGATTTTGACTAATTCGAAAATGTCAACATAGCCTAATGGAAGGGTAATGCGAAGATAACAGCAATAAATCAATTGATTCAGATACTTTTTAACACTAGGCTTCTTTTCTCCTAATACTCCTAACACAATCCTCAACTATATTGGGAAAATCAGAGGAAAACAGACGTGGGATACAACTGCGAAGAATATGTGTGTGATACCACTGCTTTATACACAGATTCACTTTACAGTAATCATTAACTAGATGTTAATAATCTTAATCTCATCATATCGCGTACTAAACAAATATCATGTTAAATGAATTCATAATGGGTATTGTCAGAATACGCTTGAATATCATACTGAAGTATTTAATAACTGAATTTGTCAGAATACGATCGAATGTTTTACTGAATGATTATCAAACTTAATTAATCAGTAATTTAATGCTTTTTATTATCAAGTCACAAGTTAGCTCTCTTATTTGACCTACTTCGATTTTATCAGCTGAGTATTATCGTTTGCTTTCTCTCTCTCAAACACATACAACACAAGTTCGACTCAAAGAAGTTTATACCAATTAGTGCTTGATTGTCGAGTTTCATTTGAAAAAGCCCAAGTTTATCTTGATTGGATCATCATCTGTTTGAAACCAACCATAATCTTATCAATCATTGAATTGTTAATTGGTTCTTTTCGTGGCTTTTCAAATCTGTCTGTTTGTCGTTCAATAACTTGACATGGTTGATTATTTGACGGATTGTACGACAGAAGTTTTATTGTGACTGTTGATTATAAGATATTGTTATATCCGTGTGTGACTAGTTGATTATTGGATCCAGGCAAAGTATTTGTCTAGTTGTGGTTATATGTGTTTCAGAAAAACACACTAAGAACACTGATATTTATGGAAGTTTTGTTAGCTTGACACCCTTAACAACATTTTGAAGTTCGTAGACATACTCAGAATTTACATGGATCCTACCTGTGACAAAATTCACATCTTTAAACATATATATATATATATAAACTAGGTAGTTCGTATTTATTGTTAGATTTTACTTCTACGAATCTTACTTGAAATCATTCTTACCGATATTGAAGAACAGAGATGTTAAGATGGAGGATAGCAAATACTCTACCAATTCGTCGAGTTTTGATTTTGGGTCAGTAGCTTTACATGATATTTTATTATGGATGGTAATTAGGAGTAGATATGTCATCCGAATACTCTTGTTTGGAAGTGAGAGTTGAACCTCAGCCCTTATCGCTTCTAGCTCTTGAGGGTTATTATGCATTCGGCTACAGATTTGGTAGAACCACCCTTATTTAAACGGTTATGATAACGAATAATTTCATGGTGTTAGGAATGGTTTGTAATTTTTCATTGTTGATATTCAGGATTACAACAGACCTGTCTCTGTGTATGTGCTATACAAGCATCGTGAGCGGATTGCTTCAAAATAACACTATATCACAAGTTTTACTATATTTTTTATGTATCTATCAATGGAATCCCAAACGCACATTTGGTATCATTTGTGATTCTTAGGTTAGATATGCCTACACCATCCTAGTGTTGATGTTCACACTGAGACTCAAATTCAATATTTTTCACTTCAAACTTCCAACATATTATCCTCTGAATATCATTAACTGGGAATCGTAAACTCGTATAATTACTTTCATACCAGTTGAATACAATTCTAACTATATAAACTCAGTAGCTCATTGGGTAATGTATTGATCATTTGAAGCAAAGTTCACTGGATTCAGGTCTCATTTTGACTATCTTTACTGAGGTGCAGAGATATTCAGCTAACGAGTTACAAATGAAACAAAACATGTTTTCTGGATTGCACTGCTACTAAATTTTTGTGGCTTTTCAAATAAACCATAGTAACAAATTCTGTATACAAATACTAATTCAGATATTTCCGTTAATATTAGCCCTATAACGAACATGAAATGTTATTTCCCCAACTGAATTGCTCGTTACTATCAAAATACTTCCATATAAAACCTAATTGTAAAATTTGTTTGAAAATAAATGCTTTTTGTACAACTAACCGTTTCTGATTTCAGTTTTGTGCAGTTGTTCACAATGCATTTTAATTGTAAAATAAATCATCTGCCGTTTAATATTACCACTATTGTGTACTTCATTTATTAATAATCTCATTTATATTGTATTTATTCTTCTACTAACCGCTGCTATAAAACAAAATAAGCATATTAAGTTTTATGTTTGTTTGTCCTTTTTTTTAAACCATCAATTAATCTATATCTTTTGTGTTTTCTCTTACAGATCAAAGTCAAATTTAAGAGGGTAAGTTGAACATAGCTCTAACTGATCTGTGTTTTTCTCTCTTTCTGTATATGTGTAGTTGTTTGTTTTATTAATCAATTATTAAAAAAAAAATTAAATATTTATGTTCTCAGTTGCAAAAAGTTACTGAAAATAAGAATCTTTAAAAATATTTTTGTTGCTTAAATTATTCATACTATATAAGATATTATGAGCAAAGATAGATGATGGCTAACAGTGGAATCCAGGACATACGTTTCATCTTATTTAGGACTCGTCAGCTAGATTTACCTGCAATATCGGGGCAATCCGCACAAGGTGCACATATCCTAATAAAAGACTGATCGATTACAGTTCTAAACATCAATAATAAGATCCAAACAAGCACTTCCTAAAGATTGATAAATAGTCAGTTATGAAAAAAGTGGATGGTTTGTATGTCTGTTAAAATAAATTTGACTAGTTGTTTAACAGATTTCAATTATTTCATAACTCAATTCATAGTAAAGTTGAACGATTCTTATTTAACCCTGTTGGTACTTTATGTGCAATGCAGGATTAAAGTTGCTTCAAAATTCCAGGAGAGAAGTGTTTAACCATTCAAAGTATTTCTTGAAAACTTTTCAGCCAAGTGATATATAGATCAGTATGGCACTTTGATTAAACGTGAAATGTTATCAATCGAGATAGTTTTTACACTGCCTTACAAAAGTGTTTTGTTATTACTATAAGTATAATTATGAAATTTGCTTCAGTGAATATAGTTTCTGTTGTAGAATCGCTGTGTTTGAAGAGGTTACCAGATCGGCAAACTGAATGAAGAACCAGCGACACAACGACAAGATAGCTAAACTATTCGAATATGTCCCAGCCTCGCTAACTAAAGGGAAAAGTCTAGGTTCAGATGAGGGAAAGTATATTACACAAGCAGCTAGAAGCACGAACAACAAGTACACAGCTGAAGCATATATATATATATATATATATATATATATATATATATATAGCGTAAAAATGTTCTTGGGAAACGTCACAAAATAGCATATTAAAAGAGGCAACTAACCAATGACATTTAGTGTCCTTTCAAGTGGGAAATACAACCTAAAGTTAAAAATGGGTGTTTTCGGCGCGAAAACGAGGAAATCACACTTCCTAAATAAAATCACAAAAATAAAACGTTTAACGAGTGAATTCTGGGGATCTGGAATTCCCATGAGGAATTCAGTACTTCATATATTGACACAAAATATACAAGGATTCTTTTAAAATAGTTTCTGGTCCAGATGGATTAACTACAGGAGTCTTCAAGGATCGTGGTACAGTTTTAGCGATTATTTTAGCTAAATTCTGGGGACTGAATGTAATCTCATCTGACTGGTCGCAATCACTGATTGTCCCAATATGTAAGAAGGGGTCAGAATCATCCTGTTTTAGCCATAAAGGGATTATTTTGAGTAATATAGCATCTAAAATACTAGCCTTAATAATTATCGGACCCCTAACAAAGACTCGTGAACTACAAACACGAGAAAATCAAACTGGCTTCAGAGCTAGTCGTGGCTGCATCGACCACATATTCATCAATCGTCAGGTCTAAGTCTCTCATTTAGTGCATAAATTGTAAGTAAATCTCTTGAAACAAAGCTAAAGCTGTCCCAAAATCTTCAAATATTGTGATGAATTCGGTGACTTGAAATGTTTCAAAATATCATATTTAACAAATCATGAGAAATTATGCTCTATCTAACTAGAAAGCTTGAAAAAAAGCATTAAACACCGTATACTTACTTACGTCTGTTACCCTTCATGTAGAAGTATAGGTCACTTACTAAGATGCTCTGTCTAACTCTGTCCTGGGCAATCCTTTCCAGCTTCTATTCTTCCTTTTCATGTATGCTTCCGATTCCCAGCGTAGTGTACTCTTTGGTCTTCCTCTTTTCCGTTTCCCTTCAGGATTCCAAGTTAGGGATTGCCTCGTGATGCTGTCTGATGACCTCTGCAATGTATGTCCTAACCACTTTCAGCGTATTTTCTTAATTTGCTCTTCAATTGGAAGCTGGTTTTTTCTCTCTTGCAGTAGGTTGTTACTGATGGTATCCGACCAAAGGGCATTGAGTATCTTGCGTAGACAGTTGTCCTATAGGAAACAACGTTACTTAAAAAGTGCTAACCAGAATAAACAATTTAAACGCTAAATGTGATACAAATACACATAAAATATGGCTACAATTGGGTACCAGAATATAGGCACCATTTTAAAAAGGACATAACATTGTGAAGGTGGAAGGAAGAATATGTCATTCAGTGGGGGGGGGGGGAAATTTTAGATTGAAATGTAACCAAAAATAACATTTTTTCAATCGAATACGTTATTCTTCTATAGCGAATACTAAAGAAATGTGCAGTCGGATCACCAGTCACTTTCATTCTAAGACGTTTCTGATAGCTTTTGGAAACACTGAGTTACACTATCTGTATTATTCTAACCAAGGTTTACTGACGGATCCTAGTTCCATGTTACTTTCTTTCATACTACATTGTCATGTCATAAATTATCAGTTACATGGTCCCATGGGGGTGGGATTTGATTGCTGTATCACAGGATAGGAAGCTATATAAAACACTTTATTTCATCCAACTTGAACTTCCGATTAGTAAGGATTAAGCAGATTAATAATCTGTATAAATTACTTGATTATTCATGTGAACTGTAGTATTAATAGCAGAGATGGATAGTGGCTAGCAGTGGAATCCAGGACGCGCGTTTCGTCCTATTTGGGACTCGTCAGCTGGATGTACCTGCATCTCAGAGTTGATGATCATTCTGGGACTCGAACCCAGTACCTTTCACTTCAAACGCCATCGCGTTATCCACTCAGTTACTGAGTCCTGATAGCCACTTGCTTGTGCGATGGGGTGAAGTTTAAATTCAACTTAGTATTGTTTGTTTGAATCTTCCCATCGATTTGTTAGGACTGAGTGAACATCAACTCTGAGATGCAGGTACATCCAGCTAACGAGTCCCAAATAGGACGAAACGCGCGTCCTGGATTCCACTGCTAGCCACTATCCATCTCTGCTAACCATGCTGTGAATTAAGGTATATCGAGGCAATACGCACAGTATGCACATATGCCAATTAGAGACTGACCAGTTGCAGTCCTAACAAATCGATGGGAAGATTCAAACAAACAATACTATGTAGTATTAATACTCTGTATACATGATCATGCACAAAAATGTATCTAGAATTATTTTTCATCTAAGTTACAAAATAAGTGAATGTTTTTTCATATATTGAAAATTTCATTTTTTGTTTGTTTTTGTTTTGGTAGACGTTGATTTGATGACCCATAAAGTGTTACAATTATACAATTATTTTAACTCTAACATAATGTCTAATTTACTTAAATTGTTCATAATCTTATTGATTTATTTATCCTATCCCATTCTATTTAATCAAAAAAGGAAAATAATACTGTGTTAATAATCAGAAGGGATTTTGTGGAGATTTCAGTATTTTCATAGTTGAAATCATGATTCAATTGAAGCTAGACCATCATGGAAAACCTGGAAACACTGGACTGCCGTTTCGTTTAAGTATGGGACTCCTCAGTACTGAGCATCCTTGATCCCGCATAGCGGGATTCGAACCCAGGAACTACCAGTCTCGCGCCAGAGCGCTTAACCAGCCGGCATTCGATGGTGTTAATGTCTAACTGTGTTAATAATTACTATAATTATTCGTTAATATTCAGTAAATGTTTTGTACATTTTCAAATGACATTATTATTATTATTATTATTATTATTATTATTTTAGAAGTCAATTATCCATTGGCGGGTCATCGTATCGAGGTCAGTTTTGGTGTGGTTTATATTATGAAATAAAAAATTTAAATTTGCGGAAAATTATACATGACCATAAATAGATGATTTAATGGTAACATCTCTAATTGCGCTTAGAAGAGTCTAATGTTAACAATGGTTACACGTATTAATAAGGAGATACATATTAGTAATAATCATGTAAGAACAAAATTAGATGGTTTTGCAAGTAATACAAACGAGAGATCAATGTTGAGCATTTATAATCGGGATGTAGCATGAAGGTGTTGATAACCAAAGGGGTGAGAGTGGGAGGAAGCATCTTCATAAATTCACTATATAAACATAGCTTTGTATTGGTCAGATAGGGATGCTAATAGCTTCATTCGTTATATATATATATATATATATATATATATATATATATATATATATATATACTATTTTATAAATTCGATTGAAGACCACAGTTAAATTGAGGGGCTTTATTCATGGCAATTCGGTAAGCTGCTTGGATAATGTTAATAGTGACAGAACTTAGTGAAAAGCTAATTAAAAAGAAATATCTCCTCTTTCTATTCATCTTCCTTGCAAAAAAGAAAGTGAATTCAAAGTGTGATGTCCAACTAATCTTTAAACTAGTCCTATATAATTAATATGTAACAATTTATAGGTCATACTATTTCAACTGATGATCAAAATTTTCATAAATTTAAACTTATCCCTACAGATACATTGTATACGCGTCCTAGCGTTGTGAGCAGTAATAACACCAACACCAACTACCGATACAACACTAACAGCCGTTTGGTTCCATCGGCTGTCATCCCATCTAAAGGCATAGAATCCTCGGCTCATAAATTGTGTAAAGCAATAATTCATTATATTGATATAACTTCAGTATCCTGTCATTCTATGCTATTTCTGCTAGTTGCTTTACTTGTATTGATTGCTTTGAATAATCTGTTAATTTATGCACTTTCAAAATAATACAGATTGCGTAGCTCTAGTTAGTTTCTGTTAATTGCTGCAAGATCTTTTTCATTTTATGCTTTAGTTTCTAGTTTATACTGAGATACGATTAGTAATGTTTTTTTTATCGCTATTATTGCAATGGGTGTATTTGTGCTGGTTTTCGAAAACATTTGTTGACAATTCTTTCAATATTTCTTCAGTTTATATGTTTTTTTGCAGTTGCTGCATAAGCATTTTCGACAAAATCATATTTATCTATATCGAGTAGGCTGATGAATCTGTCGTTACTTTTGTTCACTTTTTTCCCCTTTAATGTGTTATATTGACGATTAGAAAAACTGTTTAAATAACGAGAGATTTAGGAATGATATCACTGATGAATAAGTTATTTCGTTAGCAACAGTTTTGTATATAGTACTAAAACATTGTTATTCATCTGGACCTGTCGTAGAGTTGTGGACACACAAAACGTATTTACCTCTATAGCACGTACTAATCATGTTTTTTTTTCTGAAATAAGAGTTCGACTCTGTTATTGGTTGGTTTTTTAAAAACCTTGTGCATCTAAGGAAAATGCAGAATAAATGTTTAATGTTTCTAAATGCTGTTTACACCTATTTCTATGTTCATTAGGTCGCTTTCTCACGACGACAAGTGATATTCATCATGATTGTTCGTCGCTTTCATTCATATTCACTTGATCCATGATCACCTCTTTACTGTCATCGTTTCTAGTTTTGATCCTTTCATGTAACAATTTTGTCTTGTTAATCGATAATTTTGAACAGATACTGTATATTCTTAATATGTGAAGTGGAAATCTTATACTTTGTAACATTCTCTTCCATACTCATCAATGAAGGTCGACATTCGAATAATTTTCTCCTTTGTTTAACTTCAGTAATCATTTTCACTGTTTTAGATTGATTAATTTCTGAAGGTTTCAATTGTCCTACTGTTGATATTCTTGACTAAATTTTGATCAGTCGTAGCTGGAATATGTACATCCTGTGCGGATTGCCTCGATATAACAATTTTTTCACAAGTTTACTGGATTCGAATACCAGTGTTAACATTAATACTGGAATGCAGGTACTTTAAGCTGACGGGTCCCAGACAGGATGAAACGTGCGTCTTGGTTTCCACTGCTAACCACAATATATCTCTTCCATAAAAACCGATTGTTACACTTGGCTGGAGCAATAGACTTAGAATCTGTTTTGATTATTATTCATTAGTAAGTATCTGGTGATCCTTCATATATTTCTTTGCATGTTACTCTGTAATACATTCACGAATGCTGTTACTGAACAATTTAAGCTGGAACTAACTTGTGAGTGTGAGGTGTTGAAAGCGATAAGTCACTAAATAGTAACTAACTCTATGTAGTCCAACCCCTAGCTGTTAATCAGATCTTATCAATCGGCTAAATAATATCAATTAAGTTGTAATAAGGTTTCGAGTTTTGCAATTTAGGGGCTACATTACAACTAGACTAATGAAACTCATTCAAAATTCAAGACTAAATAAGATAACATCAGTTGCTACTCAGTGATTGATTAACATGATTATTCACTGATATGCTGTAATCAATACTTGTTCTCATATTCAACTCAATTTATTCATAATTTAAAGTATGACAACATATACTGGCACTGAATATGAAATTTTAAAACGATACGTTTCTAAATTAATACAAAAATTGGCTAATAAATCCTACGGTAAATGATTGTTAAGTATATGGGCCACACAATAACAATAAGACCAGTAGTAGTTATCATTGATTTGTGTGAGGACTGGAATATTGTCCAGGAGCCCAAACCAAAGCAGGTGATGATTTTCTCAGGGGGACACTCCCCGAGCCTTTGACCTAGAGGTCTAATACGCAAGACGCCGGAGCAACAATAGGAGATCCATTATTCTAGTAGACGGTGACGAACAACAAATTTATACGTCTTTTGTTCCCTCATGATCCTGGAGCACATATGCACCATTGGTTTGGAATCAGGAATTCCCAAATGGTTTAGGTAGATATTCTATATCCACCAACCTGGTTAAAGCTCCGTGCATTCTGTTTTCGTCCTCCCAATTTCATGAACAGCATCCCCACTACCAGAAGGCAGTGACTGAGTACGTATGGTCTTGTGAGAGCATTTCATGAGGGAGAGTGGACTCTCCTCACCCTCAATCGTACCAGGGAATATATATATATATATATATATATATATATATATATATATATATATATATATATAGGGAAATATTTCAAGTCCTGGTGTTGTTATCATTTTTCCCCCAGTAAATTACACAATTATTTAATTCGAATAATTTATTTGTTTTCCTAATCTCTGCTGCGCTTTCGCTTACATTTTATAAAATTATGTTTCAGTCTTTAGAGCTGGTCGGCACTTCTTCGATAGTCTTTGCTTAAATATGCCGCGGTTGTTTTTTGGATTCATGCATACATAGCCAGCTGCACAGTATTTCGCTGATCATTAATTTGTTCACTTGCTTGTTTCATGGTTAATCATTTTGTTTTTGTGCTCTGTGTATAGCTTTTCATTCTTACATATTCAACAATCGGTTTGTAGGAGAAGCAGAAAAAGTTAGTGAATAGATGATTCACCAAGATTATTGATATTGTAATCTTCATTTTATCATTATGTCATGATATTTTTCAAAAAAGTGATAAGTTTTTCGACTCTTTGTTTTATCTTTGATTGTTGGCTCCTACTTAAATGTACATGTGATTTGTAGGGATTTTTCTAATGTTTCAAGTGTCTATCATGTGTGTATTAAACTGGTTATTGTGTAATCCTTCATTGATTTCATATACACCATTTTATCGGCGAATGTTAGCTCCATTTATTGTCTTTTGGGAATGACCATTACTGGTGAGATCAATATGAAGTTAGTGAAAACCATAGCAGATTATATCAATTCGGGCCGTCTTTATCACTGTCAAGGTTTTAATCTGGCTGTAAAATTTAGAGTTTACAACACTTCGGAAGAGGAGTTTTATTCTACGGTTGAGAAGCCTGGCTCATCTGAGGTTAGGATATATAGCAACTCTGTGTTTAATCATTGTTCCTTTCGAAAGATTGTTGACGTCTGCTAACATCATCATGTTAGTACTACTGACGTTCGACAAGAGGTATTCGGGTCCAGAGAAATTGATTCAAGTTGTGTCACTTTCCTGAATAACCGACTTTGATGCTTTGATGTGTTGGGTATGCTGTCTCAGCGTCTTCCATATCGTCGATTATTTGGCAAATTTGGGGCTAAGTGGAAAAGGCTTTGAGGTATTCGATTTATGATATAAGGGTGTGATATAAAAGAAAGTAGCATGGGACTAGGATCCGTCAGTAAACCATGACTCCTTGGCAAAGGTAGTACAGATTGTATAACTCAGTGTTTTCAGAAGCTATCAAAAATGTCTTAGAATGAAAGTGACTGGTGATCCTACTGTGCATTTTCTTAGTATTCATTATAAAAGAATAACGTCTTTGATTGAACGAAGTTCTTTTTTGTTTGAGCTTTGATTTAAGGATTCCTGTGGAAATGGTATATCGATAGGTAAAGTGAGAACTTTCACCCTCTTGTGATTGGGATATATATTATATATGGTTAGCTACCATCTACCTCATCTCACAATGCTTTCAGGCATAAAAAGTGTTTTAAAAAGCTAAATGCAGAAAGATTATGACAAGACATCAGTTAGTGAATCAGTCAATTTTTGTCTTTTGAAACTCATGAGATAATCATAGCTTATACGTTGAGTGACATAGCTTAAATTTAAGTGAGATGGCGGCACAGTTACATTTATTTTTCATCTAGCTCTGAATACTAAACCTGGTATCATTATCTATTCTTCATTTTCAATCTCATCCATTCATTTTATGGGCTATATTTATAATCTTAAGTTTATTTCCACTCCGGTTTTCATCTTGCCTTTTGTTTCTGTGTTGTTTACAACTGATTGACCTTTTCTTAGGTAAGATTGATCACGTCTAGGTTTTTAGCCGTTTAATAAGGTCAGTTCCATGTGGTTCTTGAATATCGAAGGTATTTTCTCCTTTTTTGTGGCGATTTTTTAAGTGTATATGACGAGAATTTTAATTTTAGGCAAGGTCGCTTGTCGTTAGAATCAATAGCTAACAATATAAATTGGGCAATAATAAATAAATTATTCAATTAACTTTCAATGTTTGTTTCTCTCTGTTTTAGCATCAACTTCTCAATTAGATCTTTCTACTCAACCAATCAATGTTAATGGTAATTACCCATCACAAAGTTTGTATCCTCGTCAAGATTCAGGTAAATCAAGGATATCATCCAGTTCATTTTTAGATGAGCAAGGTAAGCATAGGGTTTTCTGGTGCAAACATAATCTTTGCTAATTACTATTTATGTATACAATGCTGGTTTGAATCCCATAGTGGGGAACATCAGTTCCCTCAATATTGAAGAAGACGTTTGACTACTAGTTTGAACTAACATGAAACGTATGTCAACCCTTTGAAATCAGTTCACAAAACGTTAATACACCAAATATTTTCCTCATAACAACATCAGTCACTAATTATGTTTATTTACTATCCATATACCTAGGAATTTTTTTTAGCATTTAATAGATTTACAAAATATGACTTTTGCCGAACTCACTGATTCTAAAAATCTGTATAGAGTTGTGGAGATTTTTAAGTTTTAATTGTGATCATGAATCGAACAATGTTAGACCAGCACTAAAAAGCTGGAAGAATTGGACGGCCGTTTCGTTGTAGTATGGTTAGTAGATTGCAATTAGAGATTTTTAAGCAATTGAATAAATTACACCCAACCATTAAGTTTACATTTAAAAAGAAATATGGAGGCAGAGTAGTTTTTTGGATGTTTTATTACCAAACAGCAGATCAGTCATTACGAAAAATCATTAGGAAAAATACCTGGATAGGTGCTTACACACATTTCTTTGGCTGTTTACCTCTAAAGTGCAAAAGAAACTTAGTAAAAATGCTTCATTATAAAACATGTACTTAACATTCTTCGGATATGGTTAAAGAGGAACTAAACACCATGTGCCATACTCTTAAGATAAACATATTCCCTTCAACGATTATGGATAAATGTATGACAGCGAAGGCTGAAATAAAAGAAGTATAAATAATGAAGGAGAATTCATTATTAATTCGCTTACATTCATACGGAATTCAGCCAGTGAAATACCGATCCAAAGATTACGTAGAACAATCTGGAGAACGTTCAGTGCAGGGAAACACGACTAGTGATTTTTCGCATGCCCTCCTATCCCATACACACGAAAAAACACAGGTGAAGACAACTAGTGTAGCAGCAGCCTCTGCATCAATAGGCCTCAACATACTTACTTACTTACGCCTGTTACTCCCAATGGAGCATAGGCCGCCGACCAGCTTTCTCCAACCCACTCTGTCCTGGGCTTCCTTTTCTAGTTCTATCCAGTTCTTGTTCATTCTTCTCATGTCTGTCTCTATTTCTCGGCGTAATGTGTTCTTTGGTCTTCCTCTTCTCCTTTGACCTTCAGGATTCCATGTGAGGGCTTGTCTTGTGACGCAATCAGGTGATTTCCTCAAGGTGTGCCCAATCCACTTCCAGCGCTTCTTCCTGATTTCTTCCTCCGCTGGAATCTGATTTGTTGTCTCCCACAGTAACTTGTTGCTGATAGTGTCTGGCCATCGGATCCGAAGTATTTTGCAAGATTCTCGAATACAACAAAGAGAACGCCAAGCCAATCACACTTGATGGAGAAACTCTTGTAGATGAGGAAACAATCACGTACGTGGGAAGCATCAACCATGCTTGCGGCTTCGCGAAACGTCCCGCTTACAAGCACTGGGTTTCTTCTGGCTCTTTACAACCGAAGGAAGCCCGTCGGTCTACTCCGGGTGACCGTGAGTTTGACCACAAACGAAGGCTGTTACGTAATGAAATCGGGCAAAGCTTGCGTAAGGACCGGGAAGCCTGGTGGTCGGAGTGTGCTAATGAGATGGAAGCAGCAGCTGCATCTGGTAACTGCCGGAAGCTCTTCCAACTCATCCGAGCCACTGGCAGCAAGATGTCTGGTGTGAGTGAAACAATCTACGAGGATGATGGGATGCCAATCACTAATATCTCTCGACGTCTTGGACGATGGGCGGAATTCTCCGAGGGGCAGTTCAACTGGCCTGCTGCTCCGGCAACATCAACCAGCTTGTCCTGCCCCCCATGGCCGGTGACGACTGATCCACCAAACGAGGCGGAAGTCCGCAAGGAACTCCAACTCTTGAAACGTTATAAATCACCTGGCCCAGATGACTTACCTCGGGCTCTTTTTAAAGATGGTGGTGACCTTCTGGCTAAGGAACTGACTGCGTTGTTTGGAAGGGTTTGGGAGCAAGAAAGTGTTCCAACATCTTGGAATGAGTCAATAGTCGTCCCTATCTTTAAAAAGGGTTCACGTTGTTCCTGCAATAACTATCGGGGGATAAGTCTACTTTCGATTGCGTCCAAACTATTGGCTTCTATCATTCTTCGTAGGTTGTTTAAAACCCGAGAACGATTGACTCGCGAGGAGCAGGCTGGTTTTCGTTCTGGTCGAGGATGCATTGATCACATCTTCACCCTCCGCCAAATGTTAGAACACCGTCATACTTATCGCAGGCCAACAATCGTAGTGTTTCTTCATATCAGGGTGCCCTTCGTCGTTGGACAGGACTGTTCTCTGGGATTGTCTATTGAAGAAGGGTGTGCCTGAGAAGTTCATTAACATCTTAAAGGCCCTGTATACAAACACCCCAGGCAGAGTGAGGGCATACAACCACCTTTCTCCCTTGTTCCATTCGAGCAGTGGGGTTAGGCAGGGTTGCCTGATCTCACCATTCCTCTTCAACTTTGCTATCGACGACATTCTGGAAACAGCTCTGATGGATGCAAGTAATGGCGGTGTGGATATGTTGCCTGGAGAACGACTTCTCGACCTTGAGTATGCGGATGATATTGTCTTACTGTGCGATAATGCCCAAGGCATGCAATCCGCACTTAATCAGTTGGCAATCAGTGTCCGCCGGTACGGTATGTGCTTTGCACCCTCCAAGTGCAAAGTACTCCTACAAGACTGGCATGATTCTCATCCTGTACTCACCCTGGGTGGTGAGCAGATTGAAGTAGTTGAGAAGTTCGTGTATCTTGGTAGCTATATAATTGCTGGTGGTGGCGTGAGTGATGAGATTGATGCACGTATAATGAAAGCCAGAGCGGCTTATGCCAATCTGGGCCATCTTTGACGCCTTCGTGATGTTAGTCTGGCTGTAAAAGGTCGGATCTACAACGCGTCGGTGAGAGCAGTTCTGCTCTATACTTGTGAAACCTGGCCTCTCCGAGTTGAGGATGTAAGACGACTATCTGTGTTCGATCATCGTTGTCTTCGAAGGATTGCTGACATCCAGTGGCAACACCATGTTAGTAATGCAGAGGTTCGACATCGTGTGTTCGGGCACTGAGACGATAATTCAGTTGGTTTCACCATCTTGAAACACCGACTTCGGTGGCTTGGACATGTTTTACGAATGTCGTCCCAGAGACTTCCACGTCGTGCATTATTTGCCGACCCTGGGACTGGTTGGAAAAAGCGGAGAGGAGGTCAGTGTATGACATGGTGTCGTGGCATGAAAGAAAGCTGCAAAGGGCTAGCTTCTGTTGGTCCTTCACGACTCCCTGGCTGGAGTCCGAGAGATGGTGCAACACAGTGGCTAGAGACGTTATCAGATATGGCTCAGAATAGAAGCCAGTGGCGATCCTGCTGCAACCTTCTTTTACTTTCTACATAAAGAGTGGTTCTAACTTTCTTAACTGAAAGAGTCTTCTGGTTGTACATTTCAGTTCACCTTATCTTTTCATCCCTTCTCTTCCTACTTTCATTATTTTGTGTGACGCATATGTATCTGGTGCCCTTTTTTACCAATATATAAGTGTTTAAATAAATAAATAAACCCGGTCTTGGGACCGGCAGTAACTCTAGAAGAGCCACATGCGGAGTTAATCAGTCAATCATACTCACTATAAAACTTGGCATGTATGTGCGTCAGTTAAGGTTTCGTCATCATATCAACTCTATGAGATACCACAAGAATTTGTTCTCACATAAATATTACTCAATAATAATTAATTATTATTATCACTGGTTCATTGATTATTATATCCATTTACCACACTGCCCGATTTTTTTATATATATTTTAAATAGGTGTCGCAACACCTATTCAACAACGAACTGATGGAGTTGGTGAAGTTTCAGCTGCACCTTTTGAGTCACCTGGTAGTTTCCATACTTCAGCATTCGGTGCTCAACCTGATGATCGGCCTAGTAAACCTATTGAAGGTAATTGTTTTTTCGGTTTAACGCTGCTTACTCTAATGTCGAATATACGATCAACTTTAGTTTATTATTGGTTGTCTTTTTAAAAAATTTTTTGAAGGAAAAATTGAATTCATTTCTTAAATTGAAGTATAGTGTAAGACAAGTCTATGTAATAGGTGAAGTGGTGATATATTGGTTAGGTAGTTTGACATTTGAATCTTACAATTCTGACTTCGGTTTGAGCAACTGGACAGTACTGACATCCTTCACATGTAGACTGTGGCACAAAGCCCATTACATAAATCTGTACATGGTGAACAAGTTGGTGATGATAAAAACTACGCATTCATAGCTCCGTTTCCATTTACCTTTAAATTTTTAGTTCAGTATTGTTTCATATATTTAATTCCTTCTACATTTTGTAATTTCCCCTCTTCTATACTTATCGTTCCGTTAATTCTTTCTTTCACTGTGCTGATATAAGATGTAGGAAATGCAATCAACGTCTATTCGTTTTAAATCATTTCTCTCCTAATTGTAATTTAATTGGGACGGATGCATTTTTATTTGGACATAAAGTCAGTCAATCATAATCGACGTAGTACCTTATAATGAAAAAGACTAAATATTGATATTATGGTTTCAATAGGTAAAATAAAGAAATAATGAAACTAAAGATATAGCGAAAGATGGTGAGTGAATCAATGGGTCTTGGCCGCTATCATAGATTCTAAGCCATAGTACCCAACCTCACCAACTATTTTCCGGGGTTATCATGTGAACTCCAACTGCGCAACCTAGATCTATCAATATAGCTCAGACCAGCAGTCAAATGACTGATACCATGTTTTTTTGGTCACCTCTAGCTTACTTTCAGCGTTCCTCTGTACCAGCTAACATTGTCCATCGAGGCGCATTAAAACTATTTGCATCAAGAATTTACTAATTTGATTTTGTAAATCTGTTCAAGGTTCTAGTCAATAAATTAGTAACATTCCTGATTATTATCATTGTTTTTATTACTATTCTCACTTCAGATATGACAAAGCGTGAAACAGCTGAATATGTGACACATTTATTAAAATCGTTACAAAGTACGTTCATATTTTATTGTATTTTTCTTTTTAGCTTATAATTAAAATTTGTTTTACTATCATTTTGAAGATAGTTACGATACTAATTTTGTAATTGAATTTGTCTACTTTCTGGTACGCGTCGATTCAAATTGATACACATAATAATAAGCTATAGTAGTAAATAATAGGGAGAGGTGATCATTAACCCTCCTTGAGAGAAGTTCTTATGCTTATGATTATGTCGTGACGTGCATAAATGAGTCATTGTACCACTGGTATACATGTGATACTCAAGAGACAGTCAATTGCAACAAATACTTTCGAACGTAGGGGTGACTATCTATCCTTCCAAGTGAGTGAACATACCTGTATGTATGCTATGGGATGGATGAATGAAAACTTGTGTTATGAGTGTCCATGTAGACTATGCTTTTGCCCCTGTCATGTCTCCGGCGCTCCAAGACCCAGGGGTCCGATTTCTACACGAAGTCACGTCCATATAGTGTGTCCATGAGCCTCACTAAGCGGATCTCTAATCTGAATTAGCCCATGGGCTTTATCAAGTGGGGCCCCACCAATCTCAAATGGTCGGAACACTGCACCAATCAAATAGATCGAGTTTTTAATCGTCATTTATTGTCTAATGAATATGGAGCACATAATTTCTCACATAGTTTGTAATGGTACTTTTCAACTGCACATTACTATTGTTCTATGGAGTATTAATTTTTGTAGCTGTAACGAAAAACAATGGTAACTTTGGCTACAAACAGTGGGAGGAGTATGAGGATTACAAAGATGATGCAACATAAGAACAACTGTTGATTTCCTATTTTGATGATAAAATTGAAAGTTTGCACTCCTTTGTACATTCTGTTTCCTAATTAACTGTGTAAATATTCGTTGAATAGTCGTCTGTTGACACACAATTATCCGTAAAACATGATGTGACAAGTTTGTTGAGCGGTTTGAATTCGGATAACTTACATGGATATTTTAAACAATGGAAACAGTGTTAAGACATATATGTGTATACTGCCATAGCAAATGGGAAATCAGACTTAATGTACGTTAAATTTCTTAGAGTGAGCTTTTTATTTCCATGATCATGTAATCACTTATTCACCGAACTGAATAGTAAGTATTAAGTTGTACATTCTCATTAATCGGGTGAATGCCTTAAGTGAGAGCTCGATACAATACAAAAAAAGTTTACACACATGTGATTTTCGATCGTTTACATTTTGTATTAGGCTTTTTAACTTAATGTTAATTGATTTCATTGTTCCTCGTTTTTTCCAAAAAAATAATTATTCTACTTTTTCTACCCTGCTCGTATAGCTGCTCGAACAGAAATTACTCGTTTACAAATAGAAAATGATCGATTGACTGGTCATTCACATGAATCTGAACGAGAATTAAATGAAGTTCGTATGAGTTTGGCAACATTACGCAATCGTTTATTAGAAGATAATCTTACACAATATCTTGAATTGCCTCGTGAAACCAATGGTTACATGGGTATTGGAAGTAGTAGTGTTATTGGTCTTAGTGTACGTGGCAGCAATGCCAATCCATTTGACAATGTACGACGTGAAAGTACTATTGAACCCCAATCCTTTTTATCAAAAATCTCCTCTCTAGGAATGAATGCTCGTTTAGGAAATATCATTCCACCGACAAATAATCAATTACAAGCAAATGGAAACAGTGCTAATCTTGGTGGGGGAGGATGGTGGTGAACAACTAATCAGGGTTCCATAGAAAAATTAATAATTATTTGAATAAATCAAATTATTACATTCTTCCCGCGCTGTACTTTGATTTCGTTTTAAATTATTGAATCACCTTGACCTTGTAATGAAAAAAATACTTGTGTGTACTTGAATGATCCTATTTGCTCATATATATATATGTGTATGATTATTTTTTTCTACTCATCATTGTTCCCTTCATGTAATCAGGAGTGATTTTGTACTTAGGTGTATATGTATATGCTGTACGCAAAGCAAAAAAAAACAAAACAAACATTTCAGGTTGAAATGTCTTTCAACATTATTACTATATTATTGTTACTAATTATTCTGCTTCCAAATATTATTACTTTTATTTTACTTAAACAATCTTGAGGCTATAGGTGTAAAAAAAAATACACAACAACATATGGACAACACAGACAAGCGCATTCATTAATACATATCTATATTCAATATTCTTCAAACGCTTTGATGAAATAGAGTAACTACACTTTAGTTCATCAACTAAGTAAACTTTCAGAGGTCATGATCTATTGTATCATAATAATGAAATAAATTTTTGTGTTTGTTTGTTTGTTTTTTTTCTATAAAATTCTTATCTACAGATAATCTGTGATAATCAATTGTATTTGTTTCTATGCCTAATTAAAAGAATAATCAGTTGCTCAATGTTCAATAGAATATCGTCATTATTCCTTTTTAGATACACATTTTTAAAAAAAAAAATTTTATTTACACCTACTCACATTATCGCATATTCGTATTATCAATCATCATAGTGATAATAATAGTTCTTGCTATCTTTACTAACATTGTTTCATTTCGGTGTTATCTTCTATCTTCTTTCAGTTTTGTTTATTCTTTTTTTTTTTTTAAAAAAAGACCTATTTATCACTTTATTTCCTATCAGATCTTTTTTTTGCACATGCAAATTTGATTATGTTGTCACATTTTCATTCAGAATTTTTTTTCAAAAAATGAAGAAAAAAGGAGATTTCTTTTTATCCAGGGTTTATTAATTGAGAGGTTTTTCTTTTTTTTTATTAATTAAAACAAAATTTTTTGTTCCTATGGTTTTAGTAAAAAATAATTTCTTTTTTTCTTCTGGTTTTTATGTATTATCCAAAAAATCATTCATTCCATGTGTTTCTTTTTGTTATGTGTGTACGCAAAATCTATTGGTGCTAAAAATATGTCCCCCCTTTTTAAATGTATACAGGTGTATACCTATGTTTGTTCTTATTATTTGATATATGTATTGACAAGATGGCAAATGGAATAAAATGTGTATCATCTTTTCTTTGATCTAAAATTTCTTTGATGAATTTATTCATGATGAATTCCATGCACTAGATCTTTTGCTTCATCTAGGAATTTTTCACCATATGCCCAATTCTCTTTTATTTTTGAATAATAAAGACTACCTTGTATGAAATTGATTTTCTTTCTCTTTATAATTGAATCTTACATCAATCAATTTCTTTTGTTGTGTTTATTAAATTGTTTAATTATTATTTATCATTTGAGAGTGCCTAATTGAATTTATTTCTGTTTTTCTGTGCCAATTTTAACATTTCTTTGTTCCTCTTTTTGTTCTGGAAATTATGAGGAGGGACTGAAAGTGCAAGTCAGCTAGCTAGCAAATTATTATTTTTATTTTAATCTACTATTTTTAAGTGATACCAGGAAGAAAATGTGATTTTAAGTAGTGCCCTGTTTTTTTTTAAAAAAAATACTATTCATGAATGTACTGTATAATTATGAACATAATTGAACATACAGTGGTAGTTACTTGGATTTTAATTCGCCGCGGAAACAAATTCGGAGAGAAAAGAATGGTTGTTCGATTTCATTCTGATTTTTTTAAAAATCAAAAAGAAAAAACGACTAATTGTAGTTGTGTAATGTGATTAGATATATTTAATATAATATTGAACATGGTAACTAATTATTTTTTTTGGTTTATATTTGATAAGAATTGAAAGCTTTGAAAAGGGGTCATATGAAACTAATAGTGAGATGTTGTTCAGTTTGATTTTAATAAAAGTGTTCATAATGATCAAAAAATGACAGAATGAATACTTTTCATATTATCCTTGTCTTTTGTTTTGATTGTGTGTCTGTGTGTGTTTCGAAATTTCTGTATTTGTTGGTGTTTGACAATGGATTATTTTGATTTATAAATATTTGTGGTCATAGATAGATTCTATATGGTAAACGATTCGATGTTTATACATAAGTTCATTCATAAAAAATAAACTAAGTTATCTATCTAATGCACAAGATTAACAAAGTTCTTATTCAATTATAGAGTTTTCTTTCATCTTCAATTATTCTTTCTAGATGATTTTGAATGACTGCAATGATTCAAACACAGTTATACTGTTCGATATCACTATAAGCCTTCTATGAAAAGCATTCAGATTTCTCAATAGACTCGACTCATCAAGTAGAGATTTGGTTTTGAATTATACTTTGCGTAAGGTCTAATAATTTTTTTTGGTTGCGCGAACCAATGTAGACAAATCAAGACTCAGACCTGAAACCTTGTAATTGAGAGTTGAATACCTTAACCAATAAGCTCTGCCAACTTAAAGATCGTCACATAGCGTATTCTAAGCTAATTCTATCTATTTTTTATTTTGACACCCAGTTGGGTAGTATACAACACACGATAACCCCCAAAAAAGACATTTTGTAACCGAATGTAAAATACACGAATACATACTTGTTAAGTGATTATATCTTAAATTAATAATGCGACTTTTCGTTTGTGGAGCCATTTTGTTTGACTTTCAACGTAGTTATACTAATCACAAATATGCAATTGCCTTAAAAAAATGATAGGATGTTGACTACATTTATTAGTTTTATTCAGGCTTTTTTCCTTAAAACTATTATGGTTATCGTAAGCAAAGATAGATAGTGGCTAGCAGTGGAATCCAGGACGCGTGTTTCGTCTCATTTGGGACTCGTCAGCTGGATGTATCTGCATTTCAGAATTAATAATTATTCTGATACTCGAACCCAATACCTTTCGCTTCAAACGCCATCACGTTATCCATTCAGCTATTGAGTCCTGATAGCTATTTGCTTGTGTAATGGGGTTATCATTTCTATCTTAACATTTAACTGAAAATAAAACGTTTTTAGTTCTGGAAAATGTTTTACAATATAAAAATGCTTAAAATCTATTTTATTCAAATTCATGATAAACCATATGACGATTATCTAATTTCTTTTTTTTTCACTGTTAAGTAATCATAGGAATCATTTTTTTTTGTGTATCGCTTTTTCATATGTTATATATTGGTAGGCAATTTATGTAATGACTAACATAAATATTACGCATAAATTAATTAATTTTCTTTACATGTGATTAGAGATTATTAGAAGAGTAGACTATTTCAATCATGTCTTTTATATTCATGTGATGTACAACATTGTTTGATTTTTTATGCCTTATTCCATTTGAATATGAAATTATAGTAAAGGAATTGTAAGATCAGTTAGATTCAGAATTATAGATGTCGACTTATCGTGCTCGCCTCAATATCTGGAGAGTTTTGGTTCAGTTCTTATTGGGTTTACTGCTTTCGAGTTGAAAACCAAGTTAAAGCATTTAGTCCAATGCTTCCAGATTTTTATTAGTTCTCCAGCATTAGTTGAATCAGTTTGTAATAAAAAAAATATAATCAATAAGTTATGTAAATTCTTTACGTTTATATACTAAACACAAATGTATAGTGTGGTGACATAATGGTTAAAGCGTTCTAATTAATATCTCTTGATCATGGGTCTTCACTTTGTTTTCGTTATTTCGATTTGGGCTACTAGATCACATACATAACGTATAGTTATGCAGATAAATCTGTACTTAACAGTCAATGAGTTACATCCCCTGTATATATTGTTTAGCAGTGAGAGCTGAAGCTTTTAGGTTTAATCCCTATATGTATACGCACTTCTGGGAAGTTATACTACGCAAAATAGCTACCCAATGTCTCGTGGTTTTTTAGCGATTGTCTAAATAGCATCAGTTCGTGTTGCAAAGTATGTTTTTCATTTAAATGAAAATTACTTTTGAACTTACAAGAGTGTATCAGTCATTGATGCTATCGCTAAGCATTTAGTATTTGTCAGAAAATTAAGAGATTGAAGTTTTGTGTAGAATCTGTTCCATATACTTAACAATTAGTTGCCCAACTGCTTACTTACTTACTTACGCCTGTTACTCCCAATGGAGCATAGGCCGCCGACCAGCTTTCTCCAACCCACTCTGTCCTGGGCCTTCTTTTCTAGTTCTTTCCAGTTCTTGTTCATTCTTCTCATGTCTGTCTCTATTTCTCGGCGTAATGTGTTCTTTGGTCTTCCTCTTCTCCTTTGACCTTCAGGATTCCATGTGAGGGCTTGTCTTGTGACGCAATCAGGTGATTTCCTCAAGGTGTGCCCAATCCACTTCCAGCGCTTCTTCCTGATTTCTTCCTCCGCTGGAATCTGGTTTGTTCTCTCCCACAGTAACTTATTGCTGATAGTGTCTGGCCATCGGATCCGAAGTATCTTGCGTAGACAGCTGTTAATAAACACTTGTATCTTCTGGATAATGGCTTTCGTAGTTCTCCACGTCTCTGCCCCATACAGAAGAACTGTCTTAACATTTGTATTGAAAATTCTAACCTTGGTGTTGGTTGACAATTGTTTTGAGCTCCAGATGTTTTTCAGCTGTAGGTATGCTGCTCTTGCTTTGCCGATCCGCGCCCTCACATCTGCATCTGATCCACCGTGTTCATCAATGATGCTGCCCAGATATGTAAAGGTTTCCACATCCTCCAAAGCTTCTCCGTCAAGTGTAATTTGATTGGTGCATATTGTATTGTATCGGAGAGTCTTGCTTTTCTCTTTGTTTATATTGAGTCCTACTGTTGCTGAGGCTGCTGCTACACTGGTCGTTTTCTCCTGCATTTGTTGTTGCGTTTGTGATAGAAGAGCCAGATCATCCGCGAAGTCTAAATCGTCAAGCTGCATCTTGCCTGTCCACTGTATCCCGTGCATTCCTCCAGATGTTGACGTCTTCATAATCCAGTCGATCACCAGGAGAAAGAGAAAGGGTGAGAGTAGGCAACCTTGCCTAACACCGGTCTTTACCTCGAACGAGTCGGTGAGTTGTCCTCCGTGGACGATTTGGCAGTTTAGTCCATCATAGGAGTTCCGTATGATGTTGACTATCTTCTCAGGCACGCCGTAGTGTCGAAGAAGCTTCCATAGTGTCGTCCTGTCCACGCTATCAAATGCCTTCTCGTAGTCGATGAAGTTGATGTACAGTGATGAGTTCCATTCGATTGATTGTTCCACAATGATACGTAGAGTTGCAATTTGATCTGTGCACGATCTATCCTTACGAAATCCAGCTTGTTGATCTCGAAGTTGAGCGTCCTCGGAATCCTTCATCCTGTTTAACAATACTCTGTTGAAGACTTTTCCTGGTATTGAGAGGAGAGTGATGCCCCTGTAGTTGTTGTACTTTCTAAGATCACCTTTCTTTGGTATTTTGATCAGAAGTCCTTTTTTCCAGTCTGTTGGTACTTGTTCTTCATCAAAAATCTTACTGAATAGGATGTGTAGTATCTTGGCAGTTGCTGTTACATTTGCTTTCAATGCCTCTGCCGGGATGTTGTCTGGTCCCGCTGCTTTGCCACTCTTGATTTGTCTAATGGCCATGCTGATCTCTTCAATTGTTGGTGGGCCAAAATCGATTGGGAGGTCTGTGGGTGCTGCTTCGATGTTGGGTGGGTTCAGTGGAGCTGGTCGATTTAAGAGTTCTTTGAAGTGTTCTACCCACCTGTTTCGTTGTTCTTCAATGTCGGTGATTACTTTTCCTTCCTTGCTGTTCACTGGTCTTTCTGGCTTACGGTAATTTCCAGCAAGTTTCTTTGTTGTATCATACAGTTGTCTCATGTTTCCCTCTCTTGCAGCCTTTTCCGCTGTCATCGCTAAATCTTCCACATATTTACGTTTGTCGGTCCTGATGCTCCTCTTCACTTGCTTGTTTGCCTCTGTGTATTCGGCTTGTGCCTTGGCTTTTTCTGCTCTTGTTCGGCTGATATTGATTGCTACCTTCTTGTTCCTCCTTGCTTCAATTTTATCCAGTGTACCAACAGTGATCCATTCCTTGTGATAGTGCTTCTTTTGGCCCAGAACCTCCTGACACGTTGAAACGATTGCCTCCTTGATACCTTTCCAGCTGCTCTCTATGGTGGTTCCCTCTCCATTGAGTAGATCATGAAAGGTCTCGAACCTGTTGCTGAGGGCTATGTTAAATTCGTTGAGTTTGTCAGCATCTCGAAGAAAGGCCGTGTTAAACTTTTGTGATGTTGTCCGCGCCATTGTCCAGTGCTTAATGAGTTTTAGTTTCATCTTGGCGACCAGCAAATGATGATCGGATGCTATATCAGCTCCTCTTCTGGTTCTCACATCCTCCATCGTCCTCCTGAACTTTTTGTTGATGCAGACATGGTCGATTTGATTTTGTGTAGTGTGATCCGGTGAAATCCAAGTGGCTTTGTGTATGTTTTTGTGTGGGAATATGGTGCCACCTATGACCAGTTTATTGAAGGCACATAGGTTTGCAAATCTCTCACCGTTTTCGTTCCTTCCTCCCAGTCCATGTTGTCCCATGACGTCTTCGTATCCAGTGTTGTCCTTTCCAACCTTGGCATTGAAATCTCCCATTAGAATGGTCAGGTCCTTGGTTGGGCACTTCTCGAATATTGACTGCAGCCTATCGTAGAATTGGTTTTTAGCGTCTTCATCGTAGTCGTTGGTCGGCGCATAGCATTGGATGATGTTCATTGTAATGCCCTCTCTCTTTGTTTTGAAGGAAGCTTTGATGATCCTTGGTCCATGAGATTCCCATCCAATAAGTGTATTCTGTGCTTTTCTGGACAGCATGAATGCAACTCCTTGTGTATGTGGTGCGTTTTCTTCTTCATGACCAGAGTTCTCCTGAAGACAGTCGTTGTTGTCCAACCTGCGTCCAATGTGTTTCACTGATTCCAAGCACTTCCAGGTTGTATTTCCTCATTTCCGCAGAAATTTGGAAGACTCTGCCGGTCTCCCACATTGTCCGGACATTCCATGTACCTATAAAAATTTTCGCTCTGGTTGTAAGAAGGTGCATCGGCCTCATGACTTCCGAAGGAACTCGGCTTTCATCATGAGACGTCATTTTTCCTTCTACTCCCAGGGCAGAGTTTGAATGGTTTGAATGATTTTTTCTGGTTAGCGTTTTTTTTAGCGAGTTGATTTTCTACGGGGTGGGGTCGCTAACCCCATGCCCAACCCTCCTCCTTTACCCGGGCTTGGGACCGGCAGTAGCCCCTGGAGGAGCTACAGGCGGAGTTTGCCCAACTGCGTTACACTGATAAAGAATCTTACACTTGAAAATATGCTTCATTCATATAAATCATTCGCAGTATAAACAAAGTTAGATAGTGGCTAACAGTGAGATCCAGGACGTACGTCACTTCGCTGTATTTGGGACTCGTCAGCTGGATGTACCTGCATCTCAGAGACGATGTTCACTCTGGCATTCGAACCCAGTACCTTTTGCTTCAAACGCCATCGCGTTCACTATTCACAGAATAGTGAATTTGCTACTTTCTCCATAGTTGTACATTAAAAAAAGCGTAAAATATGTTAAAATGTATATGGACATATTATTTTTCACTTGTCTTACCAATTATAAGTTATTCATATAAGTGTGAATCATTTCAATCGTTGGAGGTAAAAATGTACAGGAAATTATGTATAGAAGCGTTTTAAGTACAACACTAATGAGTAATCGCGTAGGACGTGAAGAATAGAAATATAAAGTTAGAACAATTTGGTTGATGAGGTTGTAAACTTCTGTCCATTGATGGTCTTTGTGTTACAGATCTCTTTTAAGCTATGAACTTCATTATCTACAACACTATCATCAAGTTGTTAAGTGATAATTCATTTCTTGACTTAATCGATTTTGTAGTTTCTTACGGCTAACTTAAAAAAAATTTTTTACCTCATATCTAGTTGCTTACATATACGGCATGCAATTTCTGTTTTCAGACCTACAGTAATTTGAATAAAAAATTAGCATAGAAGTCTTCTGAGTCATTAGTAAATACCTAATTGATTATAGAAGTGACTAAACAAATTTCACAGTGCATTCATTAATTTTTTTCAGTGTATTACATGTAGCTTGATTGGGGAAGAATACATGGCGTGTAAAACTAGACAAAGGTCAATCCTTTCTTGTCCTTCTATTTGGGCAACCGTATGATATTGTTAACATTCAAACAAACAGTCTGGTTCAAAGCGGAGTGCATGAAGGTGTTCACTGCGAATAAATTACACCATTAACTTTATTTATTTAATTAAAAGAATAAGGTTTTTTTGTTAATCTCTTTAGTCATTCTGCGTATCGTGAAACATTAAGGTTGAAATCATAGTTTGCGTTATTTCACCATTGAAAACATTATAGCAACCATCCTACAATCAATTTTGGTTAAGCCCTTTTTATTAACTTAACAGACATCGTCATTTGGATAGTAACAATTTGCATATTCTTTGCACTGTTATGCCACTAAAGCACATGACACTATCCAAAATGTTGACTGCTTAAATATCATTCGATGACTCCTACTCCTCCCCATATATGTATGCACGCAAATACTATTATCAGCCTTTGTTTTGTTTTGCTGTGCCGTTATTAAATCTGACTATAAATTACCTATGTAATTGCTTGCTACTCGCTTGTTCGCCTGTTCACTCGCTCGCTCGTTGATATTCGCTCAGGTGCTGCTAGCTTTCTGACCTGAGTTATTCGACAATAAACTGTAGTTGCTGCTATCCTTTGTCTTCTGATTTTACGTACCGTTAAGATTAGAATTATAACGGTCATCGAAGTGAACGATTAACGAAGCGCGGCACTACAACCGCTCTTTGGAATTCATTACTTCGTTTACCACCTTCGTTGAACTTTTAATCCTTTTGGATTAAGCTAGGATTACTTCTCTAAAAGCTCACTATGTTGATATGTACACATATACCTTGAATGGCATAAAAAATCAATTTTACTTCAATAACGATCCCACGTATTCGCTACTCAGTTTTCTACACATACCGATCACATCAACTTAACAACATCTGTTGTTGGTCACAAATAACAAACTTCTCTTCAATCTTTCTTATCAAATAGAATTGTTAATTGTAATTGTAGCACTTATATTATGATTTAGTAAACACTATTTTGACCTTAAGTTTGTTGTGTATATGTTGCCACGTTTTTGTGTGATTGCCTAATCACAATTTAGCATATATTTATATAATTACATATCGTTATTTTTATTTCGTGTCCTAATTCTAGAGTTAAAATAGTTATTGTCATTTTTTATGGGTTTTGATCGTACCTTATTTTTTTAGTTCATATCACTGCAACTTAATCGATAGTATTCTTCACTGCTTAAGGTAATATATGACATTAATCATTACTAACAGGTTAGTCAGTGTAAATATATCAGTCCTACAAGTGGTCATTTGCGATTCTAACATCTTAATAGTAACGTCTCCGAGTTTGAAGTTGGTTGATTAAGGTTTAAATAAGATGGAGAGCACCAATCCCCTCAAGATTGCAGACACGCTTTACGAGTACCAGGGTTTTTTGCCATTCATTTCCAATTCTATCTAACAACTTAAGTTGATCTGTTATTAGTTAACATCATCATTTCAATCAAACTATGTTGATTAATAAATTAAACACTTATACAATCACCAAATGATTTAACTGGAGAGCAATGTCAATCGATTCAAATATGTCTAATAGATTAGTGGCAAAAGTTTAGTTACTTATTCTATTATTACGATATGGAATGATTTTACCAAATTATTCACATCTGTCAGTTTATGACGGGTTCGTAAAACAGAAGATAAGTGTTTGGTATTGTCTTATCTTGATCCTATCACAACTTCTCGGTTGAAAGGTCCTAGAGATCATGGATTTCACTGTCTTGTGTTGTTATTGGGCATAGTTCACAACGAAAGTAAGAATCCTATTCTAATTTTCTACATTCTTCAGAAAACGTTGCATTAACAGTCCAAAGTAAGAGGAATCTCTCTTGGTTGTATGTCTCAAATAACATTTATGATTCATTGCCTGAATTCACATGTTTCTAATAAACTTAAAAATTAGACTTCAGTAATTATGTAATATGTTATACAGAAATGGTTTATTCCTGATTGGGTTTAATAGTCTAAAGGCTATTCTGTTCGGACTGGTGAAATCGAAATGTTTAACTCCGTAAATTGTTTATCCCTTATTCAACGTTGAAATCAGAAAATTAAGGAAATGCTAGTCAACTATGTAAATCTCATGATTGTGACGATGAATAGAACCATTCAATCATAGTTAATAAGTTATCTGGATAGTATGTTTTGAACAGAACAGTAGACGTACTAATAACTTGTATTAAGTCCATTTCTATTGGCTTTGAAGAATACCATTTTTATCAACATAGTGACTGGACTTTCATTTTTTATAGCTAAGCTTGTTTTTGGGACGTTTCAAATAATGAACTAATTTTCCTTAGCCATTAAAACCCAAGAAATACTGGTCATTTACTTCGTCTTAGTACAGAACTCCTGCGAAATATGCATCCACAACCCTATCAGGTATCGATCTTAAGGCTTTCAGGTCTTATGACCGAGCACCTAACCTATAAACCACTGGGTTTGGATACAGTAATTTACATTATCATCTCCAGTTAATTTCTAATGTGTTATTAGAAGCTAAGTGTAAGACATCACATCGCTGTTTTTGTTTTGACCAGTTTAACTTTCAATGATCTCAGATCATAATTATCTTTAATGTTTATTCAAAGTTTTCATGAATTCAAGTTGCTTCATTATTATCGCGTACCTATTGGTAGCTAGTTTCAAGATGAATTTCACGAAATTGCAATAAATAACCATTTTTCCCGATACAATCACAAGGTTCGGCAAAAATTTGATGGTATTAACGCATTGACGACAATGGATAATGATCGTTGATGAGATTGAACATCTGAACAATTGAATTCGAAATCAGTTGCATAATGCTCTCTTTGTCAGCATGAGAGTTTCATTAAATTCACTTGGTATTGTTTAATTGAGTCTTCTCATGGATGTCTTGGACTGCAGTTGATCAGTCTCTTATTGACATATGTGCATATTATGCGTGTTGCCTCGATATAGCCTTAAGTCATAAGCATTATAAGCAAAGATGAATGGTGGCTAGCAGTAGAATCCAGGATGCATGTTTTGTCTTATCAGGACGTGGCTATCAGGACTCAGTAGCTGAATGTATAACGTGATGGTGCCTGAAGCGAACGGTGCTGGGTTCAAGTCCCAGAGTGAATATCAACTCTGAGATGCAAGTTCATCCAGCTGATGAGTCCCAAATATGAAGAAACATGCGTCCTGGATTCCACTGCCAGTCACTATCCATCTTTGTTTATAATGAGAGTTTCGTGTTCGATTTCATGCAATGTCGAGGACTGACATTTTATATTTCTCTGCGTGCCATCATTCATTTTGTCTATCTCTCCAGAGTTATCAAATTCCATCATACAAGTTTCAACATCATTCAGAATAACTTGATATCACATTGTATTAGGTTCGATTTTAAATGGTTGACGGGGAATGGGAGTAACATTCAGTGACAAGCTATATGACAGAGGTCAGTACTCGGTGATTAGTTGTTTAAAAGCAATTGTGTTTACTTAACCATAAATTAACCCTCTACTATTCGATGTGGTAGCTTTTAGAGCATCTTAAGGATAAGTATTTTATTATAAATGTTTTTTCCCTTAATATTTCCTCTTGAATCCTTCTTTGATACCTATTTTAAAAGACATTCATACCTGCCTTTCACTAATATTATTCCTTTAAGATAAATGGAGGTATTTCTAGGTCGTCCGAAACTGAAAAAACCCATGCAAATACGACAGTCATCATTATCGACAACATCATCATGTTTTCTGTCGGAAAGTGGTAGTAATAGCAGTAGTACTTTACCATTTCCAATATTGCTTAAAGAAGATTTCACAGGATTCAATTCTGATCATGATGATAACAATAATGATGGTATAAATAGTTGTGAACAGTTTACATTTCAAGCGGTTCTATTAAATGGTGCAAAGACATTAATAACTGATTTAGAACAAATCAAGATACTTCGAAAAAGAGTAAGTACTTTTTGTAAAAAATCATATTGTCTTGTATGCAGTTTTACGATGACTATCTTTTACTTATAGGGTGCATCATGGATAAATTTGATTTGTAAATATTTTCTGATCTCCATATTGTTGTCTTACTCAAAAACAGTTAGTGAACTTTAATCTCAGTGAGGAATAGATATTTTTGATCTTGTTAAGTAGGATATATTTCACCACCTTGAGTAATCTGATCTTTGACTGCTACTATTCTGGCATTTCTGATAATTCCATTCACTGTACTAATGTAGCTTGGAAACCCGAACCGATACACATGTATGTTCGTTTCTAAGTGTTTTATGACTAACTGGCAAACTGTTACCAACTAAATAATCATTGAATATAGTGACGCACACTGTAAAAGTTGACAATTCTTAAAAGTAAGCACTGTAGACTTTATTTATGGATGGAATTCAAGGCTCGCGGCGTTATCTATGGTATCTTTAGATAAAGCCCCCCCCCTAGACGGTTCACAATCCTCATTTATTATTGATATTATAGGTCCTCTGATGCCTTGGTATAGTCGACGGTCTGGAGATTCCACTCTCCCTCTCGAAATGCTCTCACAAGTTCACGTGTATACAGCTACTGTCACGGAAGTCCTAACGACTGTCATTTCGTGGCGGAGTTGTTCGCGAAATCGGAAGGATAAAAAGAGAATATCCAGAGCTTTAACCGGGTTAGTGTATATGAAGAATCAACCGAGCGGAGTTGAAAAGCCGTGATTCCAAACAAGTAGTGTACATGTGCTTCATGATGCTGAAGAAACAAAAAGCATATGAACTTATTGTTGATCACCGGCTACCATGAAACTGAATCTCTTAATGTTGCTCCAACGTCTTGTGATTCGAACCTCTAGGTCAAAGGCTTGGATAGTGGCCATTTAAGAAAACCACCTGCTTTGGTTTGGGCTTCCGGACAGTGCGGCTCATGTATATCTGGTGCCTACTTGTACCAATGTTTGTGTTCAAATAAATATAATAAAATCGTAAAATATTCATGCAAAGTCGTTGGTTTGTGCACTTTGTTAGGTCCTGATATGGAGTAAATAAGCTTGTCAGTACTTCATGGTTTTTTGGTAACTTCTTTATATCAGTTCGTGGTGTCATCATCGTTCTACTTGTTGATACCAATTAAATAAAACCATTAATAATAATAAGTAACTATGCTATATATGTATTCATGTTCCTTTTATTATAAGCTTTTATTTGACCTGCTGACTATTATTATACAATTTACTATTCTTTAGTTGTACTTAATTTATTAGTTACAGCCTCTCACAATCACAGCCACCTTTTGGCTCGATCTTCTATAATTGTTATTTTCTGTTTTATGGTATGATGCGTTATGATTTGTTAGTACATAAACCCAGTGTTTCTGAAATATATGATTCTTATAATGGAGGCCGATATTGGCATTCTGGACTGAACCGTCTGGGTTAGTCGAGAAGCTATTATCTCGGTGGGTCTATCAGAGCTCAGAGTTGACTCTGGACTGGTTTATGCATCGTTAGTCTGGTCAATGAGTCAGCGTTCTAATTAACGTTTTAGTCACGTGATTTATAAACAGGTCATAAGGACATAACAATTTCTAAAATAGAAATAAAGATATTTCTGTCTCACTGACTAGTTGTTTTTATGTGTAAACACTATTAATATTCGTTTTTTGTCATTATCTAGATGTAGTTTAATTATCATTTTCAGGATGGTATTTGCAAGTGTGCTTTCCTCATGAATAGTCAGCATTCATAAAACTGTCTTAATCAAATAAATCCTGATTAACTTCATAATTGTACGTTGAAAATGAACTTTTCAATGATAGCATAGATTGAGTGTAATTCAGTGAAAAAGGTATACTAAATTCCTCTCCATTGTTTATAAAATATTTAAAAACACAAAAAGATTACATTGAATTAAACAAGATTGTGACAAATAATTCATCATATGATTATTTGTTTATTTCTTTGTCAGTGGTGATATAGGGGGAGTGGCGGTGTTTGAGCGCAGTAAGCAACTGATGGTAGTCGATATCTGTTCTTACTTACGCCTGTTACTCCTGATGGAGTATAGGTCGCCGACCAGCTTTCTTCAACCCACTCTGTCCTGCACCTTTCTTTCTAATTCTATCCATCTTTTATTCATTCTTCTCATATCTGTCTCCATTTCTCGGTGTAGTGTCCTTTGGTCTTGCTCTTTTCCTTCGGCCTTCAGGATTCCATGTGAGGACTTGTCTTGTGACGCAGCTGGGTGATTTCCTCAATATGTGTCCTATCCACTTCCAGCGCTTCTTACCAGCCATAAAGTTTTTCACCCAGTTTTATCAGCATTTAGATTGATGAAGCTATTGGCTAGATCACAGCATTCACTCATATAGGATATCATATGCATTATTTATTTACTTGATAGGCAAATGTAACTGTTCTCTAATGAAAGAGTATTAGTAAATGACAGAATGTAAATTTTTTTCGTCATTAATTTATTTGAATCATTCATAATTTATTATATCAGTTGACTTGGTAGTTCTTCAATCATATTACCTTTATGGAATAGTTGGTTAAAATTAGAGGGAACTGGAATAATCTCACTTTACACCTAATATTCTAATGTTTCATAATGTTCATTGTTTCAATACTATTCTGTATAGCGTAATGCGTTACTTTTCAGTGATGGATTGATTTAATTTCACAGGATATTATTTGCAGTTCAACATGTGGTCTTCTTTGTGATAAGAAAGCTGGCCTAACCAGTAAATTACCTTACCAATTTTCCATAGCTATCTGTTTTTGAATACTCGTCTATCTTTACATTTCTTTTACAATAATTGTCTACATTCGCACTTAAATAGATTACTGAAACAATCTTCTGTCCTGGAAATACGTTATTACATTATCTTTAAAATTAACAACGATTTTTTCGATAAACATCATGCAGCATTCAGTGTTTGGTATGTTTAAGGTACATTGTAGCTTGAGAGATTGTTCAAAACAACGTATTCGAAAGAATCTTTTAGGGAGCATGTTACGCTAAATGGTAAAGTGACGACTCAATAAGCCTATGTGGTATACGATAATTATTAGTAGTGACACAATCGTAAGATTGAGACAATCTGTTAGTGAAATTGAGATGTTGATAGGGTACGATTTTGAATGGATTTCATCACTTCTCATTCAAATAAACACCGTGATCCTGAAACCTCCCTTTTATATCCGATTTGTTTTTTCACTTTACTCATTCTAACAATTGACTTTAGTTTATCATGAAAATCAAATTGAATTTAACTTAATATTTACAGATTATCGAATTTTTAAAGTCATATCTCGCCTGTGAGACTGAAGGTCCTGGGTTTGATATCTGCGTGCGAGATTGTGGATGCTCACTGCTGAAGAGTTTCATATTAGGACGAAACGGTGTCCAATGCTTCCAAATTTTCTATGATAATCTAGCTTTAATTGACTCATGAATCCAATTATTAAATTACTACAATCTTCTTTCTGAAAATAACACTTCATTAAAAAAAAAGTTTTTAAACAATTAGATTTAATAGAGTTGAGATCATGAGTCAATTGAAGCTAGACTACCATGGAAAACCTGGAAGCACTGGACGGCCGTTTCGTCCTATTATGGGACTCCTCAGCAGTGCGCGTCCACGAACCCACTCTCGCGGGATTCGAACCCAGGACCTACCAGTTTCGAGCCGAAGCCCTTAACCGATAGACCACTGAGCTGGCATCCAACGGTGTTAATTTCTAACTTCAACTGATTCACGAAATTGAGCAACCATTCACCAATGTCATCAGTGAGTTCCTATCTCACAACAGACCTGGTTGAACTCCACCGGTTACTGCTTCTCACTAGAACTCCAGGAAATACCTCAAGGAGTCAGTCACTAGTGAGCACCTGATTATTATCAGAAGGGGTTAGATTTAAGCTGATAACACAAAAACAAACTATAATGAATACCATTGAAGTTAACAAATATGTATGATTATTAATAACTTTGAAAATTCTAAATGAATAATTAACAGAAATTATATTTAACCTTTTTTTTTCTTTATTTTATAAAAGCTTAATATCTTAATCAGTTGTTGTTAGATCATAACACTTTGATCTTTGATGAACCATTTGTGATAATGTTTCTTCATTTTTAGAATAAAGTGACATTTTTTAAATTCCAAATCTTGTGATTCTATTATTATTATTATTATTATTATTATTACAACTATTAGTTAATAGTGACCTACATTCATAGAATAACTGTAGGTTTCTAAGTATATTGAATTATTTATACACACGTGATATATAAAGTAAAAAAAAATTTCTGGTTTTTCTTTGTGGAGAAAAAGTTATTCTATTGATTGTTTTACTGAATATACTCTACATTGGGATGATAGTTGTGTGTATTAACTGTATGTAACTGTATTCATGTATTGTATATATTGAAGGTACCATATATGTAAGTTATTAATTTATCATTAAATGTATATCATTAAAAATGGAGGATAACGTTTTGTGTTTTGTTTCTTTTCTCGAAATGATATACTACTATATAACATATTTGTTATAATTAATGTCATTGACTGTTTTAATCAAATAAATTGTACTAGTATTCGACCAATGTTAATTGCTATGATTCGATAACATCCGTTTATAAAGTTAATGACACTTAATGTGTTACTTGTTAGGAAGGTATAGATTACTTAGGTGTGTTAAACGGTTCAAATGATCGATCACAATGTTCTGTATTCATTTATTTTTTCGTAGTTGAAATCATGGGTCAATTGAAGCTAGAGCACCATCGAAAACCTGGATTCACTGGACGGCCGTTTCGTCCTATCATGGGGCTCCTCGGCACTGCTCATCCACTGTACCGCACTCACGATATTCGAACCCAGGACTTAACAGTCTCGAGCTGGAGCCCTTAACCGATAGACCACTGAGCCGGCATCCAACGGTGTTAATGTCTAACTTCAATTGACCCATGATTTCAACTATGAAAATACTAAATTCTCCACAAAACTTCCTCTGATCTATTCATTTATTGTTGATGTTCTCGGTGGTGTAAATTTCGCCATTTTATTACATAATTATTCCGTTCTTTTTCTTTGCATCATATTTTTTATGTCCAGTACATTCTGTACTATCGTTTATTTTGACCAATTCGCTAATCGTCATATAAATTTAACCTTAATCTTATGATGCTGTATAAAATTTTGAGCTGATCTATATTTTTGCCAGGTCCTGTGTTGATTATGACTGACTAAACATTGGGACTCTTAGTATCCTAATAACGTTTTACTCTAGATAACTGCTCAAAACTGAAACTTTTTGAACATTTTCATTCTATAACTAAGATGTTTGTGGGTACGGTTTTGAACGACCTGACTCAAAATTGGTGAACTGATGGTTATTTAGTGAGTTTACAATTAATCTTACACCATACCGATGCCAGATAATCCAAAGCACAATATCTTTCTTCATGGAAAAATGAGATTAGACGCAAGAGACTAGATTAAAAGTGGCCAATTGGTTGAATGTGCAGTTAATCTTCATTGATTGAGTTGGCTAGGACATTACATATTACGTATGCCGAATCATAAGCTATCTCTGTTGCGATAGATGAAGCAGTTTTCCAGTCCTTAAAATACGGAATAAATCAGTAAAGCTGGTAAAGTTATGTTTTACAGAATTAAATTGAATGTACCTCAACTGCACATTCCAACTTGATTTTGTTTATTTCAAACGTGTAGACATTGTAAATTTTTTATATTCTTATCTCTTTGTTTCTAGGGTTGTTACGGTTTTAGTCAGAATGATGATTTTAATCTTCGTAATAAAACCAACAGTATACCTAAGTAAGTGAAGAATAATATTACTGATGCCATTTATTTCTGCGGTAAAATTGATATAGAGATTTGTCTTCGATACTACAACACTAGATTCGGCACTCGATCTGCACACTAGATAATACTAACACTAGGCTTGATCATGTTAGGCACAAATATATCAGTATCTGGACCAGACAATAGTTTTAATGACATATTTATAATGATTTATGCATAACGACATATTTTCAATCCAACAACAAAATCTACGAACAAACCAAAGGGACACCAACGGGATCACCAATATCACAGAAGCAGTAATGCAAAGACTAGGAACCGCGATCTTATCAGTGATCAAGCTAAAAAATTAGATTCATTATGTGGACGACACATTCGTCATCGTCAAAAACGATGAACTAGAAAACACCTACAGTCTGATCAACAACGTCCTCAATGACATCAATCTTACCATGGAACAAGAGTCGAACTACAAGCTATCCTTCTTGGATATATTAATCACTAGAATCGACACTGGTAAACTAGAGACTCAGGTGTACAGGAAGCCGACGCACACTGATCAATTTCTCAACTACAATAGCAACAACCCAAGAGCTCACAAAATCGAACTGCGTACAAACTTTGTTGTTAGTTGGTCTGGTCGACAAATTTACTGCCTGATGATTATTACTTTTATAAATAATGACTGTGATTATTATAAACTTGAATAACCATTAAATGTATGTAATTAAAATAAATTTTAAAAATATATTAGTATTTCTTTATTTTATTTAGAGAATACAGTACAGATGATGATGACAGTGATGATAATGACAGCGGGGATACGTCAGATGCAGAGATATCAATTCATGATTTTTGTATTTCAAAAGGTATTGAAAAATCAGATGAAAATAGTTTCAACGAAACGGACGTTACACATTTAATATTGAATGATGTAGAAGTATGTTTTAGTTACTTTATATATAATCGGTTATTCTTGAATATTTTTTTATATGAGGTTAGTAGTTAAACGTTAGTCATATCGTTATGGGATACTTTCTTGATCAGATCATAGTTATCAAAGTCAGATTTTCTGAGTTTGTTTCTTAATTTTATATATAATAGTTAAATTTACAATGAAGAAAGGTTAATACAATGTTAGTCTCTTAATCAACGCACCACAATTAACCCCGTTTTGAATGGGAATTTGTAAGACTTACTGTTTATTTACAAAAATCATTGCTTGTATGAAAAATTTAGAGCTGAGGAACTGAACTAATCTTTCTTCATTATGCCTAGTATACTATGTATTTATGTAGACATACATTTGTTTGTATATTATATAATTTAGACGTTATTCTTACTCCATGGACTTGGTTGTTTAGACGTTTACTTGCCAGTTAATGGAAGTTCACAATTTCATTCAACCATTGAATGTCAACAACTGGACCCGTTATCTTTAGTAAGATAGAAAGAAGTTATTTTATTTTATTTCTGTATCATGTACCAGTGATTTTTTTATATTTCCTTGGGTGTTTTTTGGTTGCTTATGCGTAAATATACAATGATTAATCTGCTGACGATTAGTGTTGTCTAGTTAAAAGCAGTTGTTTAGTAGTTAGTCATTTGAACTTTATCACGTTTAGCCTTATTTAATGTAGTGGGTTTCAAATGTTTGTTATCAAATTTAAACAAAGTTGGATGTTGGTGGACAGTGGAATCCAAGGCGCACTTTTCGTTCTATCTGTAAACTGTTAACTGCATCACAGAGCTGATATTCATACCGATACTCTAACTCCGTATGGTTTGCTTCAAACTCCATCATCGCATTATCCACTTAGCTACTGAATCCAGATAGCCACTGGCTTTTGCAATTGAGTGAATTTTCAGTCATGTATATTGGTCGTTTAGATTTTCTTACTGATATTCTAGAATTGGAGTTGATCAGTCTCTTATTGTCACATGTACATCCTGTGCGGATTGTCTTGATATCGCCACCAAATCACAAACATTTTTAAACAAAGTTAGAGGATTTCTAACAATGAATTCCAAATGGTTATCGAATATTTCAACACTTCCATTTGTATTGTAGGACAACAAACATCAAATCTCTTTGGATTGTTGGACAGGATCATGCTTTGAAATTATTTAATAGTCAATGTTATTTTTTAGGTTTCACTTAAGCTATTTACAATAAAATCACTGATTCTGTTAGTGTACATGTTTCGTTCGATTGATAACTCATGCAAATTCCCATAATCCTAGATGTATCATCAGAATATCGAAATTTTATTTTATTTTTCCATAAGTACTATCACTCAAATTTGATTGTATAAAATTACAACACCAGACTATAATGCATTGTAACTTATAAACCGTAGTTGGTGTAAAACTGGAATATTTTTGATACCAAACCGATTAGTATCATCTATACAGTTATTTGACGTTTACGAATGATATAATATATAAGAATAATTAATTAATCAGTAGGTAATGTGTACAAACGCTATTAAAAAGCATTTTATAAACACTCACTTAGAATATCCAAGATAATCTATCTAGTAAGCGATATCCACATTCCATATCTTCTTTTCCTTGCCTCTCCCTAAACAACATGCATTTAAGGTGGATTAATAATTAAAAAGTCGTTTTAAAAAATTGCTTCAAAATGGAGTGTGTCGGTTGCAACTTTCGTTTACTGATTTAAAGTTGCATGAAGAATGTTTCTGTATATTCCTTTCTGATCTATGTTTATGAAATTATTATTTTTCTAAGTTAGCGATGTTCTATGTTTAGTTATTATTGTATCCCAAAGATTAGTTATTAACAATTCTAACATCCTTCAAATTATGTGTTATATAGTAGCGAAGACATAAGTACGGGTAACTCCCAGGACCTATTTTATTTATTTATTTATTTAAACACATAAATTGGTACAAGGAAGCACCAGATACATATGCGCCTCACAAATCTCATTCGATTTGTGTGAGGGCTGTGGTACTGCTCAGGTGCCCAGACTGAAGCAGGTGGTTTTCTTAGGGGCCCACACCCGGAGCCTTTGACCTGAATATCTGATCCACAAGGCAGTGGAGCATCGTGAGGAGATGCAGTCCCATGGTAGCCGGTGACCAACGATTGGTTCATACGCCATATGTTCCTTCAGGATCCTGGAGCACATGTGCACCATTGATTTGGAATCAGGATTTTCCAACTTCCCTAGGTGGACCCTCCGTGTCCACTAACCCGGTTAAAGCTTCGGACATTCGCTTTTTGTCATCTCAATTTCGTAAACAACAGTAATGTCACGAAAAGGCAGTGAGTAGGACTTCTGTGGCAGAGGCTATATACGCGTGACCTGGCGAGAGCATTTCGAGATGGAGAGCAGACTCTCCCCACTCTCGGAAATACCAAGGCATTCGGGGTTTGAAGCTTATTCCAAGTGACTAAAACATATGAAAATGTTTGGAATTTGGAATGGTTCATTCTTTCTCCTTTTTTTGGCATTTCATTTAAACAAAACATTCTTTGAATATTTAAAAGTTAATTTTAATCAATATTATCTGTCTCCTTAATTAACTTTTATCTCATCTCAACTAAACAACCAACAAACCATAATTCTAATATTATTCATTAGTTTGCTTGTTACTAATTTGAAAGCATTACAACTACAATAGATACAATATTAAACATAAATGAATATGGATATCTCGTTATGTAATGTCTAAGATTGATTATATATGAACAGATAGAGAGTTCAAATACCGATTTATATCAGTCATATCTAAGTTATTTACATTCTCTGTCATATGATATATTGAATGGGCTTGTGTTGTGGCTATATTGAAGCGATCCACATATATATCAATAAAGACTGATCGTATTGCAGTCAATAATATAAACGATAAGATCACTCAAATCTTTCCTAATAATGAAATATAACATTTTTAATTCTTTAGCAAAAACGAGAAGAAATTTTGTTTACTTATCCATAGTGTATCTCGACTATTGAGCACTGCATACTTTTTATTATTTCTCCGTTGTTAGCATCTTTAAGAAAATCTTCTGGCTGTCTTTTTGATATCCTACTATTTGTATCAAATACGTAGTAAAATTATTGCCTGTGGTTTCTTATTCTCTCATTTTCTCAATATATAGACTGAGGTCTGGTTTTGTCTGTGTACAGGATGTGTTAATTTACCGTGTTTACAAATTCACTCAGCACGAGAACAGATTGAAAAGTATTCAGAAAAGGAGCTTCATTTATTACGCCGTTATGCTGTATATATATATTATAGATCTAGGGGTTGGATTGTGCGCTCCGGATTATGTGTAGGCGGTGCTGATTACCTACTTTATGCTGAAGATCCTAATCGGAGACATGCTTCATTTTGTGTTCTAGTTGATAGAGATTCTACAGCTAAGGATGGGGAACAATTGAATTGCAGTTCAATAGCTGCACATGTTCGTGTTGCACATTCGGTTGGCAAAGTAAGTTTATTTAATTGTATTTTGTGTATAACCTCCTTAGTATAGCTTGTATCAAATATATTCCATAAGATTTTGAATATTCAATTGCTTTTAAACTTGAGGATGCCCATATCATGTATTAATATACGTTTTTGTAATTTTATCATAAATTAATGAACAAGTAAGTATAAATTCCACTTTAGTGTTTGAAAAAATATCTAATCATAGAGGAGGATTTAATGATTGGTAATGTCTGAGACTATAATACTGGCAGGCACAATTTTGAATGCAACGGCGGGCATTATTTTTTGTTGTGATTACAAATGCGATTTGTTAACAAGTGCCAACTGCCACAAAATGTACATTAAATAAGACTTCTTGCTTATTGACTGAAATGGTCATCTTATTTTTAAACCAGTTGGATATTGTGAGTGTGAGGTTGTGGTCATTGTTGGATTTCATTTGAGATCAAGAATCGATCTAACGTAAACAACTATTGTGAACCTGGGAACACTAAATAACCGTTGCATCTTAATATGGGACTCCTCCTACGGGATTCAGTCTTGCTCATGTATGCCTAACTCCTAAAAAACTGTACTGAAATCCATTGACGTACAAATCTAAATGAAATCAATCGCCTTAACATCTTCCATTGTCTTCGGTGGCTATCTTTCTCACATCTGATACAGTATAGCTCCACTGATCACTATAATTCTTTGAATTTCCTCCTTAAGCTAGTCACTAGAGAATAGGAAATATGGAGATTGATTGGTTATTATTGAATAAAATACAAATAAAGTTGAGTAAGTCTTTGTGAAGTTAAATAAGAAAATTTATATGCATATTTGTGACTGGTTAATGTGTTGGCAACTACAAACATCACTTATTCAAATGTGAAACACGTTGATCTAAGCGTTCACAAGACTCTCTCTTAGAAATTGAGTTCTGTGATATTATCGGTTGTTAATTTTATAGAATCAAATTCCCTTATTAAAGTTTATAAGTGGTACGGATTCATATTAACTTTAAGAGATACCTTTAGTAAACTGGTCTAGAATTCTCATTTTAGATGACAGAATTTTTGTGAAAAGAGAAAAAAGATACATTTACAATTTTATACAGTTTTTAAATCCAAATATTTTTATGGTTTATATCATAAAATAAACTTATCTAAACAACTAGGGAAAACCAGGAAGGAGTATATATCCCTTTCGTCTTAGTAAGAGACTTATCATAAGTACACATTCATAAATCCACCGAGGATCGAACCCAGATCTTTTGGATCAACTTTTCGACTACCTAGCTGATAACCAATGTTAAGTAGTGATTGTCTTAACGTTCTTGAATTTTCCCACCCGAACTTTATTTATCCTAAACAAAATTTTTTATGACCTTATTAACTCTATCGGAATCTTCGTTTTATAAGTATGTTAATATCTGTAATAAGGTTGGTTTTAAATATTATAGGTTGTAAGCAGCTGATGAGAATCTAATGAAATAAATGAATTCTTATTACTCTGCATCAATCTTCGTTCCTGCTTCTTTTAAAATAATAAAGGGAACAATGTGTATAATAACTAATGGTTTACATATTCAACTTTGATTTATTTAAAATATTACACAACCCTTCCTCAATGCTATCGTTGGGTAACTGCCTCATAATCTACATGGTTGATCTTCATTGTTCACCCCTTTCCGGATGAATTATTGGAACTCTACCTCTCGAAGTTAGTTACTAGTGAGCACTTAACTAAAGTCAGTTAATGATGTAAAGTATAAAATTTCGAGAAACCACTCACTCTAGTTTTTTCCTAAAGGATACAGTTGTTTCATTGTTATCATTATTTATTTATGAAATCGTCAAAAATGTGTCTCTGCACTGAATGGCTTCCTATTTGTGCTTCCATCGCTCGTTTTAAGTCATTCTGTTTTTATTACTAGATGACTGTTATACATCGCGAAAAATTTGTAGATTTCATTATTTTCGTACTTTCGATGACAGTCAATTTCTGAAAATTTAATCATTTCCTTTTTTAAATCTACGATTATATTAGCGTTTGATACTTTGCCGTGTAAGTCTCCCGTCAATCGAGGAGTTTTCTAACAATCCATGGGAAGGTGTTCGGAAAACAACAGTCAAGGTAAATAGCAACTTTTTTCCGTGACAAACTAACTAGGTATTGATTTATTTGGGACGGATTAAAATTAACTGTAAAATTGTTTTTGAAATTGAAAAAGAACTAGACAGGTGTTTCTATCTAGTTTGTGAACTCCCAACAACACATAAGAATAACTCCCACGGCTCAAACTAATGACGTTTATGACCCACTATGAGGACGTTATCTTTATTACATTAAGTTTTCTAAATGTTTTCATACTTTGAAGACTGTTTTTAAGAAGAACAACTATCATTCGAATAGCTAGTACAAAGCTAGAAATAATCAGGTTTTTAAAACTGAACAACATTTCATTGCTCATTAATGAGTTTTTTTGACAATACACATTTGCAAACTTGGACAGTCCGTGACTTTTAAGGTCTTTTGAAGTGGAAACTATAATACATTTCTGATTATATCAATGAGCAGTACAGATTTTAAATCTTATAAGGATTTAAAGTCCTTTCTGAATTATAAATTGACGTTATGGATAAAAATGGATGTTTTTCATATAATATCTGTTAAAACGTATATCTAAAGTGAGGACGCTATATAATGAGACCTGGTCTCTTCTCACGATTTACATTTTTATTAGGGTATAATTAGGTTTGTAGAAGTTACATAGTCCTCATAATTTCAGGTTACGAACTGAGGAATCTCATGCTAGGATGCAACAGGTATCTAGTGTCTCCTGGTCCATAATGGTTGCCTAATGATAGTCAGTAACCGATGCAAAATCTTATTTTATGCTTAATCATTATGCTATTTAATATCCAAAAGTAGTGTATAATACTATGTTTCTGCAAACAGATGTATATTTACGTACTATTGATTAAATTTTTATTTATTTTAGGAAACCCTCATTGATTATTGGAAACCGAAAGCCAATTAATAAAAAGGTTTTAAAACTAGCTTGGGTTTCAATGTACAAAGTTCCTTGAATATATTTCCAACGAAATCGTATTTCCCAATCGAGCTGATGTACATATATTTAAAATTTACTGGTTGTCTATGCAATAGGATACTGTAATTTACTCCCTTCATATACTTCTTTTACTTATTGTTGCTTTACTGTTAGGTTTCCAAATATTCACTCATTAAGCTGCCTAGAACATCCATTACTTTCGTAAATGTGCTATGATATTATTCAGATAAATACGTTATAAAGACTTAATTTTTTATCGAGATTGCCAGCCAATCTTAGTCAGAAAACCAATGGAAACCTGAAAGCACTGGATGACCATTGCTCAGCGGAAGTTATGCACGGCTTGTAATCTGGAATCAAATCAGGTTTCGCATGCGAACGCCTAACCTTTAGACTTCTGAGCTGCGATCTGAATGGTGTGGAATTCATACATAATTGTCATTAAGTATGAAGTGTATCAAATTATACTTGACTTTAGACAATAATTCATAATCGTTGTACCCATCTGAAAAGATTGAGGCCGTTACCAAGAGTATTAGTCATTTTGAAGTATAGTGGAGTCATGTGAACTAATTAATGCAACTTGCTGGCATATTTTATTGAAGTCATGAACCGATCTGAGTTATACATTCATTGAAAACCTGTAAGCACAGGACGACCGTTTCGTCTCAGTATAGGACTAGTCAGCAGTTTGTTAAACTATTAATCAAATTGCTTTGACTAATCAGCTCTAGGTCATACAGCTATTTAATAATATGTGTTAACTAGATTTACCAATTCAATATATGAAGAGGCTAATATGGAAACTAAAGCAAATGAATAGTGTAATGTACACATTGTTGCATCTTTAGTATTCTGAACTGTTTAACTAAAATGAATGGGTTTAGTCCAAGCTCCACCTTGAATACCTACAGATCACCATAGTCTGAACTGTTTTTAACCAAACGTTCAGTAAGCTTATGTATCTTGTGAAAGTAAGCTTTGGTTGGGCAAGAACAGACATATCTGGGTTAGACTGAACATATTTGTCTATAAAAGGTTTGGTTTATTCCATTGACTTGTTTTGTTGACTGCTTTAAGTTATTTTTCGGTAAACTATTGTTCTAGCCTATATCTGGTTCTCAATCATTGGTTTGTTAATTGATTCGAGTGTACCATTCGATCAAATATCATGATCTGATGGACAATCTAATTTTTAGTCTTACTGATTTGATTTTCTACTGTCTAATGTTGTGTAGAATTATTAACGAAATCCATTTTTCATTATCTTTACACAGCTATTGGTTCTAATAAATATAGGTGCATATAATATACTCAATTCATTCAATACATATTCTTCTCGATTTTCAACTCTAGTGATCCTTGATGAATACCTTTTATCTTTACCAACCAAATTCTCAAAGTCTAATCTGTCATTTCTGCTACATAACTTCGATCGGTTTTGGTTGTTTTCATTTCATCGCACTAACTTGGTATACAACTTGGACCAACTAACATCTTTCTCAGACTCTAGATTGATAATATCTATCTTAATTTAAAACTGGGATAAATTTTCATTTGTTGCTTATTTGAGTCTAGGGGTATCGGTATGTGTTATTTCGTTCAATATATGGATGATGCTGAACATATTCAATATCAGCGGTTGATCTATCATCATAATATTATTATTGTTATTACAAAAGAATAGATGTATGGACATAAAATTACGACTGAATAATGTAAACAATCCCAAAACAAACAAAAAAATAGCGCGGGATAATTGAAAAGTAGTTTATACAAACAAAAAAACTAAAAAAGGAATTGAATTAATTAATTTTCTTGTAACACAAAGATCACGTTGGTAACAATAAACAATTTACAATAAGATATTTCATACATTTGTTAAAGGATAAAAATGAAGGGGGGAATATAATTTGATAGAGAAGACAGTATTAGTAAAAGGTTTTCAATAGAATACACTTAACGAAAAAGCTTGTTGTTTTGTCACTATGATACTGTTCGGTATGGTTAAAATAGAAGAAAAAACCTTGACTAGGTATATTGAGATACATATTAAACAGTGGAATTTCTTGTGGTTCGAGAATAATTTTAGAAAGAAAAAATACTCATAATAAATGCAATACTGTGATGATAGGTTGTTGTTGTTTTCTTTGTTTACCCTTTTCAATATTATTTCCGATTCATTGGTTTAGCTTTCTGGAAACAATTGTGAAAGATTGATAAGTAAAAAAGAAAGATGGCAAAATTTCAATGATGTATGCTGAACAATACATTATTCGATATTAGAAACTGAGATATTGAGTCTTATTTGACAATTTCAGTTAGATACATTCATCTGTATTAATCATGTTAATCGCCATTGCGATCGACGGACTTAATCATCTAAGCTAATAGTCGGTTAACAGTTTTTTGTACGCACACAAAAAGTGTAATATTGTTGAATTGGGAAAGAAACAATTAGGCACATATATTTTAGATTAAGATATTCAGTAGCAGTTTCATTCGAACGTTATTGCAAGATTGTTGTAAACACTTAATGTTATGTTTGTTCTTACCAGTTCAGTCGTTTGCAAAGTAGTCTTCCGTTAGTAAACAAGCTATCAGTTTACTATAACACAAAATGAACCATAAATTTATGTTTTATTTGGTTGCAATTTTCTATTCCCAACTAGCACCAGTTCCGCTTATTTTTCAGATGATCATTCAAATAATGATTGCTTACTAGTGAGTGACCGGTCTCGGCCGATAAATTAATTTTAAGATGTTTAATAAAAAAAAGATTGTTAAACCAGATCATGAATGATGGAGAGGATTTGTGGCTCTAGTCGATTCTTATAGTTGTGTTGTGTTCTGTTAGCTCGATAGCTTAATTAGAGGAATTTCACCATCCTTCTAGATAATATCACCAGTGCTTACTTCATGAAAATTCACAATGAAGCTATTTAGTTCAGAAAAAGCAAGGATATCAATCATTTGGCTTTACAAAATGTAAGAACACTTGGGAATCGCTTCGTTACATAACACAGACAATGAGCTCTTAATTAAACAGGTCTCAGTTTAAATGTATTTTTCTTAGAAGGTTAACCGCATATATACCAAATGTAACGTAGAAACTGGTACATTTGTACATCAGTTAAAGTTGCTACACTCCATTAGCACAAAAGTTGGAGAGTAGTAGAGGTTGTGACAGTGTTCGTGGTAATAGAAAGGACTAGACATCAAATGTACGCTTCGAGAAAGTATGGACCAGCGGAGTTGGAAAACAGTTTATAACGTATTAAGAAACTTAATATCCAAGGGAAAACAAACATCAAGTGCATCTTTGTCACTGCGAACTATTTTGATTCATGTCACTCAAACTCGCTAATCGTTATTTACGGTAATCACTTGGAATCCAACCAGGTAGTTTAAACTTACCGACAAAACTCAGTTCAACAGCCTGTGTATTCATTGGACAATATGTCTTGGCTTGACCGTCCCTAGCATTTTTTCAACCTGCTCTTACATTGTTCATCATCGCTCATTGAGTTATTGAGTCTATAAAATCTCATCCCTATATAGTATTCTGTATCTAACCTTGGCGATATTAACTCGATGGTATTCATTGTAAATAGGTGTAAATAACTTCAGAAACTTGAAATGAAAGGTTCAATGGAAACTACTGTGAAATGCAGCACTCAGCCACCAAATGAATACGAAAATATTAGATACCACTGTTATTGATAATTTAGAAACAGACGGATAACCTCACCCAATTTATTATTACCTCACTGCGCTAAATAGTACTTTCAAGTTTTTTACGTGGCTGAGCAGCTAGTCGAATATATCGGTATACAATAATGGTTTTATTCGTCAGTGTGATGAACTTCTTAAATACAAATTATGTAATAGTATTTGGTAGCTAGATTTTGTGTGATATGAATATCAACTTAAGGTAACAGATGATTGCTATTAACTAGTCAACAGTATATTTCACCTTTAAACAAATTAGTACACCGACATAGTCATCTTCCTAAGTACATGATAGGTTATTTTGTTCAGAAAAATGACACTAATTGAGTGAATTTTAGATATTAAGGGAATGGCCAACGCCCAACTTAGGTGAGTCAGCATATGTAAAATTGAATGATCGATCAATTTACTTGGATAAATTGCATCCGATAGTTGTTTTGCTAATGTGTTTTTAAAATACGGAAAATATTTATGAACTAGTAAGACTATAAAACTGTATTAACCTAGAGATAACACCAAGGTTATAAATCATAATGGAAGTTGTTGTTTATCCGTTATCTGTTGAATAATTTGACTTCAATGATGCTCATGTATGTGAATCGTTTTAATGGTGAGTGTTGTAAGTTATCTATAACGTCAAGGATTGTTGAGTACATTGTACGATTGTCAGTCGGATGCAATTTCAACGATCTTTATGTTAAATGTGAGACAAAATACTATCATTTTGTTGAATGCATAAGGTCTATTCGACTCTTTGAAGTCTATGGTTCTAAATGATAAAAATCATAGAATAACTATCTACTATGGAAAAACACATTTCATTGAATCTAAGCATTATCTACATGTTCCAACCGGATCTTTATAAAACAACGGTGGATGAACACAGAGAGTCATTGAATATTGACAGCACTTAAAAATCTACCTTTACATCTGTATTACACAACCGTTCGTTTAATTTCGGAAATGTCAGTTGCACTGTTGGTGTAATGATCACCCATTCGTATTATAGTTTGGGCTACTTATATCGACATAAGTAGTATATATCGTGAGTCAGGAATAGAATATTTGGCAGCAGAAGATTGAGAAGGGAAGAACAGAACCAGAAAGCAATTGGTATAGAAGTACAGGAACAATGAAGCCTGAGACAATTTATGAACATTAGAGTATGGTTTTTCTATTTTACCAAGTAACTTTGTAATTTCGTGCTTAAAAATAATCACTTGTCCTCGCCTAAGTTCTCATTCGTTACAGTATTAGTATTATTGTCTTAAATCAGTTGATCAATAGAAACCGTCAAGCCTGTATAAATCACTTCATCCCCTGATGCAAGTAACATCGAATAACAAGTTATAAAATAAATGCGGAATTTATAAAATCTTATGAAACAGTAATATTGTAATACTCACTTGAACAAATGTATTTGGTTGACTTTGAATTTTCTAGAAGAAAACAAAGTATATCCCAAATAAATTAAATATATGGAAACAAGCAGTCACAGTAAGATCTGAATCTCTTGGGTCAAATCCTGGTCGCTCACTGATGAGAATCAATCCGTGCAGTAGAATATAAATTTACACAAACTCTTATACTAATTTGAAATGAATCAGTCTTACCAATGTTTAGTAAACATAATAATACTTACGCCTGTTACCCCTCGTGGAGGAGCATAGGCTGTCCACCAGTTCTGGTTAGCGTTTCTTCAGCGAGTTAGTTTTCTACATGATGAGGCCGCTAACCTCATGCACAACCCTCCTCCTTTACCTGGGCTTGGAACCGGCAGTAACTCTATAAAAGCTACAGGCGGAGTTAAACATAATAATAGTTACTACGTTAAAAAAAGGTTTAGAAATTCATCAACTAACCAAATTAAAATGAAGGCAAGCTAATTTAACTTTATGCATACTACTTAAATACAATGAATGATTAGAGAAAAACAACAACACTATACTCCATATATATGATCATACACATGACTGGTTCTATTCATTTACATAGGCATTAATCAAATGCATTTCTATCGATCAAGGTCAACGGAACATGGATGTATTATAATTTGTTTCACTTCATTTTTAATTCATAGAAATAGTGTGTGTAAAAACAGAAATAAGAAATCGTGCTTCATTTATGTGATGAGATTTTCACTGTACCCTAAACGAAAATTATTAAAGTGTAAATTATGGTGAACAAAGTAATGATGAATAATCATGTTTCACTTAGTATCCCATGAATTTACTTATTCTCTAAACTATAGTTAACACGAAAGTGTATTGAATTTATAACCTTATTTGATCTTAGGTTTGAAACTGATGCTCCCCTAAGTCGGTCTGAACAGTTAAATTGGTGTCAACAACTTCATGATGTTCTTTAGTGTATCTTGTTTTTCTGTTGTGATTAAGTTGAACTGATTGAGAAATTTATAGCTTAGGCAGTATTGTGTTCTTTCAATTAAACAATTTTTAGTTGAGAAGTCCTCATCCCAACATCAACTGAGGTTTACTAACAGTATAGAGATTTTCAAAATTTATGATCCTCATCATGGGGAGGACTAAGTAATATGGTCTCTGAAAGCCAGTAAGTACTGAAAGGCTATTTCGATTTAGCTCGATGCGTAATCATGACCTCACCAGCGATCAAAGTCAGATGATCATACAATATCGTCAATTCATTTAAGTTAAATGCACAAACCACTAGATGCTAGCTCATTGGTCAAGAAGTAAGGCGTTCGTTGTAAGGCCAGAAGATCTTGGATTCGGATCTTCAGTAGGTTCGTGATTGAACACCATTCAGTAGTCCCATACTAAGTCGAGACAGCTTCCCATTGCTTCCTGGTTTTCAAAGATTCTTTATTTAGGGTCAGTTCATGATGCAAACTATAAAACTTACTAACTTGTGATATCATTAGTTTAGAAAGTGATAAAATCAAAGGAATCATAAACAACATGGTTTTAAATTTCATGTTAATCTTCTAATATTTTTCCTGATGGTGGATGAACTCGTCAAGGTTCTCTTTGACTCTTCATATAGGAATAAAAGTGAAGTATTGACTTTTGTGATAGTATTATAGAAGGGTATTCTTCTAAGTGAACTCATCCACTAGTAATTCCTGATATTCTTAGTTAAACTGAAGGTTCATTCACAATCTAACCATCAGTGATCAAATATCATTTCTTGGGTTCACTGAAGATGGTCAGTCTGGATCTTCTAATGCGTAGCTGAATTGAAGAAAATCAAGTCAACAATCTTTTAAGCGTCTAGCTAAATGCCGCTCTTAAAAATATTACGTTCAGTTAATTCTGCGTGCTTTTGAATTTAATAACACACTTATTTCCTATTTCATAAATTATTATCATTAACAAATTTTCAGAAGATTTGTGGAGATTTTAGTAATTTTATAGTTGAATTCATGAGTGAATTGAAGCTCAGTGGTCTGGAGGTTAAGCACTCACGTGTGAGACTAATAGGTCCTAGCTTTGAATCTCACGACGCATGATCGTGGATGCGCATTGCTGAGAAGTCCCAGAATAGGACAAAACTACCGTCCAGTGCTTCCAGGTTTTCCGTGGTGGTTTAGCTTCAATTGACTCATGAGTCCAACTATAAAATTTACAAATTTGTTTGTGATCATTTTAAACATAAACGTAGTAACTATTCATTAAGTTTTATGTGTAAAACAACGATATTAGTTAAACAGTGTTCATTGCGATAATTAAGAGAAAATAGGGGAGTCTATTTAATAATAACACATAGTTAAGCTTGGTATAGTAGGGAATTAAGTAATATGCTAGACGTAGAGCGGTTGCATAGTAGTTAGAAAACTTCAGTGCTCAAAGATTGGGTTTTACTGTTTGAACTCTGCATCTACCTTGTTTTATTTAGCTGCTCATTATCATTAAGTGTGATACAAAAAGTTGATTTCATAGCCAGTTTCTGAATCTACACTTTATTACCAAACTCATGTAAAACTTTTGAGACAAAAAGAATTTTCTAGAATACCGAAAATCATTTCCATTGTTAAATGTTTTTATTTAATTACACATAATTCACAAACATTAGACTACAATACTTATTAGACAACTGAACTATAAGAAATTAAGCTATTTGATTTGACAGATAAAACCTTATACTGTTAACCATAGTAAGACAAATAAAATTTTAATATCAAGCACCAAATGCCCTGGTATGGTCGAGAGTAGGGAGAGTTCGCTCTCCTTCTCAAAATGCTCCCACATGACTACGCGTATATAGCCTCTGCCAGGAAAGTCCTACTGAATGCTTTCTCGCAAACGGGGTGTTGTTTACGGAATTGAGAGGATGAAAAGCGAATGTCCGGCGTTCTAACCGAGTTGATGAACACGGAGGGTCCACCTAGGGGAGTTGGAAAACCCTGATTCTAAACCAATGGTGCACATGGGTTCCAGTATTCTGAGAAAACAAATGGCGCACGAATCAATTGTTGGTCACCGGCTACCATGGGAGTGCATCTCCTTACGATGCTTCATTGCCTTGTGGATCAGACATTTAGGTCAAAGACTCCAGGTGTGGCCCCCTAAGAAAACCACCTGCTTCAGTTTGGGCAATCGGGCAGTATCACAGCCCTCACACAAATCAAATGAGATTTGTGTGGCGCATATATATCTGGTACCCCTATCAACAGAGAAAATTGTTTGAATTTGTAACTGGAGAAATTTTAACACTGAAGATAAAATTTAATTTATAGTCTACATAATTCTCAAGTCTTAGTGATTTTTTTACACCATCAGTAGTTAACATTCTGGACATAAATGAATCTTATAAAGCCAGTTGATGTTAATCAATATACCCGGAATGAAGCTTATCAAACTGTTAGTTCTAATTATTACTGATTGATAAGTTCTTCTGGCATCAAATTAATTCCATGAATAATCTGTTGAAACGTCATTAAGTATGTTGATCAGATAGCATGGGGAATATAGCTGAGTGATAAAACTTCTGTTGAGTACCAACTAGCTACGAAACTGTTCCTAAAGTTATCTATTGATACTTTCTAAATGTAAAAAAAAGTGTACCTACACATTGTAAAACTAATATTAACACAAAATCTGTAAACAAAACTGTAAAGCTATTTAACTCAATCCAAATTTAAATGAAACAGATGGAAGAAAACAAGCTATTACGAAAGAAAGAAACCAAAATTGGATTACAAAACTAATTCACTGTTTCAAATCTATGAACAGAACATTAGACAAAATTCATTTATCAATGATTATACTGATAGTAGTAAAGATCATCATTAGCGAATAGAAACAACCAAGCTAATAATAGTATCTTCAATAGAAACATATACATTCAATGTATGGTGAAAAACATTAATATTCCCGGAGAGAGGGACAAATGATTCCCTTTTATTTGTAATTTTCAGTTTTCACTTTCTTTTTTTACTGAAAAATTTATGAACCTAAAGACAAATGATCTTGTTTAGCGGACTTGTTTTAAAGAAATACATAATGATATTCATTATTAGGTTTAGAAAAAAACAAACGAAAAGTTAGTCCTAAAAATCCATGGGAGGATTCAAACAAACGATATCAAATGAATTCAAATTTCACCCCATTGCATAAGCAAGTGGCTATCAGGACTCAGTAGCTGAGTGGATAATGTGATGACATTTGAAGCAAAAGGTACTGGGTTTGAGTCCCAGAGTGAACATCAACTCTAAGATGTAGATAAATCCAGCTGACGAATCCCAAATAAGACGAAACGCGCGTCCTGGTTTCCGCTGCCAGCCACTGTCCATCTTTGCTTATAAACGAAAAGTTACTTTTCTGTCAAAATAAATAAGATATAGGGAAGCAATAATAGTGTCATGCCGGTTACTATGTTAAGTCCCTATAACTTGTTCTAGCTTCTGGATAGGCCAATCTATTATTCATTTTTCCTGAGTTGCATTTTGATCTTGTGAATTTTCACTTGTCGAACCTGACTGTTTTTATGAGTCTATGTGTGTGCATATCTTATCCTATTCATCACATGTCTGTAGCTTACGTTTGTTTGAATATAAACAATGATTAACGCTTTATTAAATTGAGTTGGCTGACACGCCATCTCCATTGCATGCCACTTTGCTTCGCTCACTTTTCGCTTCATTCCTCTGATTGTCTGTCAGAATCCATGAGTGTACAAAATACACTTATTCAGAAATCCATTCTTGTATTTGGCTTATTTAATTGCGTTATTGACAACCGCGGATGAAGTCGATAATTATATACGAGGATTGATGATATGTATATTCCAATAACAATCATTCCTATGATACAATTGGAGTCAAATAAGGGGCCACTAAAATAGTATTAAGTCTGGTAACAAATATTAATCTTCATTAAATTTCTATCATTCACTTTTCATGCGAATTAGTTCTATAACTTGAATCAAACACTTACTCACTGGGTTAAAGGAAGTAAGTTACAAGGACACAATTTATTCTGACTAATTTCGGTTTTGATAATCAATTAGTATCACTAACCTCTTTACAAAATAAACAAATCTAATGACATAATATGGATGATTATATGAACTAATGGTTTCTAATCTAGTAATTAAATGTATCATGCTCATGGCGAGAACACAAAGTCGTGTTAAGAATCGTGGATACGTACCTACCAGAGAGTTCTAAACTTTATAATGAATCAGCTATTAAGTTGCCTTTTGTTTTCAACACTTTCGTAACACTGTGGTAATTACTAACTTTGAAATTATAGCAACCATCCTACAATCACTTTCGATTATAGCCAATTTTGGTTAAGCCCTTTTTTATAACTTACTTAACAGACATCGTCATTTGGATAGTAACAATTTGCATATTCTTTGCACTGTTATACCACTAGAGCACATGACACTCTAGCCGAAATGTTGACTGCTTAAATATCATTCGATGACTCATACTCCTCCCCATATATGTACGCACACAAATATTATTATTAGCCTTTGTTTTGCTTTGCTGTGCCCTTATTAAATTTGACTATAAATTGCCTATGTAATTGCTTGCTACTCGCTCGCTTGCTCCTCGTTCGTTTCCTTCGCTTGTTTGCCTGTTCACTCGCTCGTTCATATTCGCTCAGGTGTTGTTAGCTTCCGAACCTGAGTAATTCGACAATAAACTGTAGTTGCTGCTATCCTTTGTCTTCTGATTTTACGCGCCGTTAAGTTTAGAATTATAACGGTTATCGAAGTAAACGGTTAACGAATCGCGGGACTACAAATTAATAAGTTCTATAAATTATAAGTATTTTAAGTGTAACTAATCAGACCTAGATTTATAGCATCATTCTGATTCATATGCATAGAGTTGATAACTAATTTCAATATACTAGATTGACAAACTACGTTCTCTTGCTGCAATGATGACTTGATTCGGGAAAAGAACGGTGAGCTTCAGGATTATTATGAAATAAAATAGAGTAGTTATATCTCTAATTTTTATAGCATTTGATAAGCATAGTGCAATTGACACTTGGTTAGTAAGTAATTCAGCTAAACAGTTCAGTTGGCAAATAGTCCAGAAACAAACTGTTCGGAAGTTGTTGTCACATCACTCTTTTTATTGGCTATTACCATATATTTAACAAAATTTATCAGTCAACTAAGTGTTGGATTTTTACTATGGCTAGTTCTTATATTTTCTTTATAAGGGATAGAAAGTTTCAGGTTGTCAGCTTAGTATTTATTATCACATTTACAAGTTAAAAACTGTGCCTGCAGCTCTTTTAGAGTTACTGTCGGTCCCAAGCTCGGGTAAAGGAGGAGGGCTGGGCATGGGGTTAGCGACCCCATCCTGTAGAAAAACTAACTCGCTAGAAGAACGCTAACCAGAAAAAATAATTCAGACCATTTAAACTCTACCCTGGGAGTTGAAGGAATAAGCAGATATGAAAAAGATGAATAACAACTGGAAAGAACTGGAAAAGATTGCACAGGACAGAGTTGAGTGGAGAATGCTGGTGAGCGGCCTATGCTCCTCCACGAGTGATAACAGGCGTAAGTAAATAAGTAGGTTACAAGGTAAACATCAAACACAGTTGAAAATAAATTTTTAATATATTCCAATTTTTCTTTCAGACAAAATTGTTAGCCTTTGATAACTTTGTCAACGCTGAGGAACAACATGATAAAATGATAATCGTTTTCAGTTGACTCACATTGAGAAAATCTGTCATGATGACCTTGATATGTGAAGATTAATACTTGGAGCAAAAAGAAAGTTTTTAATGGCATGTAAACCATAATAATACAATTTATGACTATGAACTGTGTGACTAAAGCTTTTATGCAGCTACTTCAAACATTACACAATAAATAGTGTTCTCCAGTATCGTTTACATTTATTTTTTGAATACACTTCGCGACCTATAAAATCCAACTAGCTCCAAGGTATATAGCATGATTTTGATTAGAAACCGGTGGAAATCTATGCAAAAATCACTTTAATTTTAAGTATGACTGTTGAAATATACAAATTAATAACTTCCAAAGGAATGAGTTAGACAATAAAAGAATCGCTATAAAAATTTCATTGAAATTAGCTCCCTACATTATTGATTTGGACATTGTAAAAGAACGAGTATTTTGACAAAAGTACTTTACTAGTTTTTAATAGAACAGATGATCGATATCTATGGAAATCAAACTTACAGTGTTGGGAAATGATGACGAAAATTTGAATAAATTTTCAGATGGGATAAGTTTCTTCATAAACTTATCTGTTTTTATTTTTTGCTTAGTTCTTTTCATTGGACGAGCAGCTTGAATAATCTTTTAACAGAACAAACAAAAAGGAATAACGAAGACACTTTTTTGTAAAAATTAACAAACTATTATTGTTACAAATAATGATGGACGCGTAAATAACGCTTAAATAGTTAACAGATATACATAACTAGAGGGGATTTTCGAATGCTATAGTTTGATTATGTAGTCATGATGATCCATAAAGACAATTTCTCAGTTCACTTTTTATCGTCAAGGATCAGGCGTATGTTCTAATGTTTCATCTTGGCAACTACCAGGTAGATGGTGATCTGAAGCTATGTCAGCTCCTCTCCTGGTTCTCACATCTTCCATTGTCCTTCGAAATTATTTGTTGATACAAATATGATTTATCTGGTTCTCTGTGGTGTGGTCCGGTGAGATCCATATAGCTTTGTGTATGCGTGTATGTGGAAATATTGTACACCAATTTGTTGAATGCACATAGATTTGCAAATCTTTCCCCATTTTCATTTCTCTCTCCCAGTCCATGTCGTCCAATAATATCTTCATATCCTATGCTGTGCACTCCGACTTTGGCGTTTAGATTTCCTATCAGGATGGTCAGGTCCTTTCTTGGGCAGTTCGCTATGATTGATTGCAGCCTGTCATAGAACTGATCTTTATTGTCGTCGTCGCTATCATTGGTGGGTGCATAACATTGGATAACATTCATTGTGATCCCCTCCTTCTTTGTTTTGGATGATGTTTTGATGATTCTGGATCCGTGAGATTCCGATCCTGCAAGTGCATTTCGTCCTTCTCTGGAGAGGATTAAAGCAACTCACTGAGTGTGTGGAGCATTTTCCTCCTCGTGACCAGAGTACGGCAGCATCTCTCCCGTATTTAGCCTTTGCTTTCCAGCTTGAGTCCAATGAGTTACGCTTATTCCAAGTACTGCCAATTTGTATCTCCTCATTTCCGTTGCTGTTTGACTGGTCTCCCCGGTCTCCCACATTGTCCGGACGTTTCATGTACTTATAGAAATTGTTTCTCTGGTTGTTAGAAAAGACATCGGCCTCGTGACCTCCGAAGAATCTCGGCTTTCATCCTGGAGGTCATTATTCTTCTTTCAACTCCCATGGCAAAATTAAAATGGTTTGAATTATTTTTTCTGGCTAGCGTTTTTTTAGTGAGTTAGTTTTCTACGGGATGGGGTCATTAACCTTATGCCCAACCCTCCTCCTATACCCGAGCTTAGGACCGGCAGTAACTCAAGAAGACCTATAAGCGGAATTTTTAACAATTATTCTGACTTTTTTCTTCACGTCTGTCAAGCAGACAATTATCTTTCATAATTATGACCCGTAAACCATTTTCATCCTTCTATTTTTATCTAAAACCTAGTTATTACATAACATCTTATGATATTTGGAGTTTGAAATCACTTTATGGTGAAATCGTTTCTATTCTTCTGTAGACAGACATTTTCCACACAACTATAGATACGAATGTACAGCTTAAGTAAATGATTTCGTCGAAAAGACAATTTTCTTCGATGAATTATCTTTACCTTTATTTGATGACACAATCGATTACATTAAATGATGCGATGTACAGTATTGGAATCTTGACACTTTCTGCTTATGTGTTAATTCAAATTGAATTGGAATGTTATCGACTGATATTGAGTTCCGTAACAGAATAACAACATGATACTAAGCTAAATATAATTACTATATAAAATGACATTTAACTTACGGAATTTTCTGTCCATATTGAAGTATCTAGATTACTAGATGAAGGTTGTTGGAGATTTGACGATTTATTTGAATGAATCGATTTTAAATGAGAATGAGACTCAGAATTTGTAATACATTGTGGTTGTCGTTCAGTTGTAGATTCTTTCAAAAATGGCGCAGAGAATTTATGAAGTGTAGACAATAAATTAGATTGAATTAATTTTGTTTTTCGATCAGTAGAAGAAGAATAATCATTTTTAGAGAAATTATTCTCTTTTGGATACATTATTGAATTGAACTGGTTCATGTTTATAGTTTGTGGATTATATAACAAATTCAATGGAGGTTGTTCATAGGATAAAAGCTAAGCAAATAAAAAACACATCATACACATCATATAAACTAACTGTCCATTGTACAAAACTACAGTAACCAATGATTACTGAGAGTTAGAAGTTTATGATGCCGCCTGACTAAGTGTTTAAACTGGTCAAGTGTCCACGATGAGACCTGAAGCTCCTGAGTTAGATCTCTGGCGGGGTTGTACGGGTACACTACTGAGTCCCGTGCCAGAACGAAAGAGCTGTCGAGAACCCCAAATTTTGAAGTGTCCTAATTTGCATCATTCTGTAATGAATACAACCCACAGATTATAGAAAGTGATGGTGATAAAGGGATACACCCATCCTAAATATCCATCCAGAACACAGGGTAATAAAAACTTGAAATAATGAAAAATAAGTTATAAAACATTATGCAATAGTTCTTCTAATGTTATGTATCTTAATACAGTAATATTCTATTTTGTTGCTCTATTTCAAAGAATATTTTAAGTTTATGTCTGCACAATAGTCGTATATCTGGTCAGTCTTATTTAGTGAGTCTAACAAAACTCCTACTCAATATTTGAATTTTCCATTTGGAATAAATACAGATAAGTCTTATTCAGAGGAATTTGCTGAACTTCATTGTTCATAGAAGTTATTACCTTTATCAAAGTTTATGAAATTTAATTTTTTTCATCAAGGGAGATAAATGGGTATCTGTCACGCTATGTAGTCCGATTAAGATAATATGTACATTGCTGATGCTTAACCGAGCAAAATACATAAAGGGAGAAGACAAACGAAAATTGTGTTGGAAACAGTAGTGACAAAATGTTTAATGAGAATGCTTACAATTCAAATGTTTCTTTTTCAAATAGTCAGACTGAATCAAGAACTCTGTTTCCTTACCCTAGATGATTTACCATGTTGTACATATGCCCGTATAGACTTTTCTCCATTGAAAAGATCTGATACTTTTAAGTTGATCTAAAGTAATGTTAAAATCAGGCAACAACCTACAAGAAGAAACCTAAAATTTATAGGAAATTAGACATGGCAAACTAAATTAGTTTTTTGGACTCCGAACAAATTATTTACTTACACTCAATTTAGATTTAGTTCTTAATTTTCCAAAATTTTAATATAACTAAAACAACAATATTTAAGAAAACCAGTTTGAAGTAATAAAAATCTCCAAATGAATGTTGTCAATAATGTAAGATGTTGGTAAGATGGAGAGTTCACAACTTGTGTTCTATTCTTCAAGTAATCATTTATAAACAACATAAGATTTGACAGAGATGTTCATCAATCCCAATTACTACATTATTACATCACTACAGCAAAAGAAGGAATTAACAGAATGTAAGTCGAAAGAGTTAATTTCCAAAAACACTATGTACCTGATCTTTTTTGATAGTTGTTACCCATCAACAAAGCATCTTATGTCTTTTACTGAACTTTAAATTGTATCATCTGAAGTCATAGTGAGATAAATTAACACTGAGTCATTTAAACGATAAATGATGTGGCCTCAAATAGTACGAGGAGTGCCAGTTACCTCGTGATTGCTGATGAGATTACACTGTCTCAAAACCCGAATCCAGATATTCTCAATGATCTTTTTTCGACCATCTTAATGCGAAATGGGGAAAGCAAAGTCAAGTCACCTAGACCAGTTATCGTGAGTCCGTTCGATCAATGGGATTTGATTAACAATAAGCACTAGATAATGTGATTCCGTTGCTAAGCAGGGATCGATCAGCGTTTAAAATGGTTTCTCATCTATAACTTTAATTCATATTGACATATCGTAGGAACAAATACATTACATACTAAGATATACGAAAGTTTAATACTGATCTTACTGATACTGTATCCGCTGAACGTGGATCATAACTACTCAGTTTGCCACAATTATCAGACAATATAGAATTTTGGTCTTGCGTCGTTATCATCGATAACGTTTCTGGTTGAGTACCCAACTTCTGAAATAATGTTGGTTTACAAAGTATTCTATTATTCAGTTCATTGGACAACTGGTCACCAGCAATCTGCCTAGATTGAATCAATGTACGAGAGTGCAATGAATGCGGATAATCAACTGACATAGTAGTGATATTATGACATGATGACTGAGGATTTGAAGATGAAAAGATTTTTGGAACATGCATATCATGCATGTGATAACGACATTGCAAATCATTCAATGTTGGCCAATTCCATGCTGAATTAATTAATAGCCCACATGGAGATCTATCATGTTATAAGAAATAGATAGTTCAATTTGTGTAATACAAACTAAAGTATAAGTGCTTAAAAAAGAAAATAATCCCAACATAATGGTTATTTAATTAATTTTGTAAGTTAACAATAAAATAATACAATAATGTATTTCAACTACTGAACAGACGCTTTTTTTGCTAATAACCTTGGAAGGGATATTGTTCTAAGAATCTAGATGGAAAAATATAATAAAATAACTTTATACATTCACTATTATATTTTGCAGCCCTTCTAAGAAAACATTGAGTAAAAATAAGGTTTGATCTTATTCATTCACTGTTATTCGACTGTTTGATAAATATGAACAGAAAAATGAGAAGACAAATTTTGTGAGATAGTACCATTTCGTGATAAATAATACAACCACCTTATTCTTTAAAGTCAAGCATTTCACCATTACATAGTTGTAAGCTTTTTAAAAAGAGGTAATACAACTACACTAAGTGATTGCTAAGTATCTTTTTCATTTTGGTGTCAGTGAGAAGGAGGTATATCATAATTAATAAAATTTCTGATTACATGTGGCTTTTTTTAGGTTGGTTAAGCTGTGATTAGCAGTGGAATTTATAACACACACTTCTTCCTACTTGGGATTCGTTAGTCGAATGCACACGGGTTACGGTGTTAATGTGATGAAATGACGAATTTCAGATAACCCTCATACAAAACATATATGCTAAGATAGAGTGATCACAATTCAGTCCTGAATATCACTAATATTCAGCAATCAAAAAGCGAAGTACGTGCAGTGAAATCCAAACCTGAAATTCAGTGATTGAAATTGAAGTGGCGTAAACCAACATAGTGCTTCTTAAAGTTTATAGACAATAAACAATTGCAATGATAAAAAGTAATTTGTTTCAAATCTTACTTTTTAGGGTAAACAAACCATCCTAAAATTATAACTGTAATGCAGCTTGATAATAGGGATATTGCAGCTATACCATATGACCAAGATAATGAGTTTTGACCAAGATCTTCCAACCAAGAATGTTTCGCAGCCTTTTCAATTTTCTGTTCAGTATCTATTCCTACACCCATTGTTATCAAACTAACTAAAGTTGAAAAACCTGGAAAAAAATGAACAAGCATTGTAGGATAGGGTATGGCAAGCAGTGACTTAGTGGATTGGATAACGATCATTCTGAAATTGATCGTCTGTAACATGTAATAATTTTTTGAACAGGAGTTATTATATGACCCAGTCAATTAGTTATATCTGTTAGTTTCAGATGCTTAATTGTAACATATGGTTAATGTGTATTCATATAGTAGGCTATTGAAAATTTATGTTAATAATACTCAATTCTGTTGTAAGGTGTTGCAAATTGGAGAACTACTACAATCATCATCAGGAAAGAACAGATATTTAAAAACCATTGTCAACTCAGGATACTCAATATCCATTGACTGGATAGCATCAGCAACAACCTATTGTGAAAGAGAACAAATCAAGTTCAGGCTGAAAAGGAAATTAAGGAACGGCGCAGGAAGCAGATAGGGCTGTAGTGATAAATATTATTTAGTACTATTTCTTGAGATGTGTTGCAGTTTACTTTCCATCAGTATACAATAGAATCAAATTGAGGCTAAGAAAAATAACTACTGTTAAGATCAACAGATGTAATAAGTTGAGCATTCTGAAATATATAAAAATATTGTGACTGCTGCAGAACAAAACCACAATCGTGCAGTGTCGTTTTTAAAATTTGTCCTTCAAAATATTACTAGAATGAGCTGTGTTGTACAAATACAATGATTTATAGAGATAACTGTGCATCACCAAAACGGAATATACCCAATAGTCCACAATTTTTCTCATATAATTGATTTATTATAAATATCGACAAGAATATACGTAACTCTAGAAACAGTAAAATTGCTCATAATTTACAGCACGTTTTTCCGGTCATCTTATTCTGAGAAAAAATATTTTTTGTAATATATATATATATATATGGCTTTACCTAGAAAGTATATGTACTGACGCTAAGTAAAATATAGAGACTAAACGAAATAGCTATCAAGTTATGTAGTTTATTAGAAAATCAACAGTTATAGGTTTGGCACGTAAAACTGAAACCATAATCCAATTGGAAACTGCATATCGTATCAGGAAAACTCAGGATTGATTTCGAGGTTCAAGGTCGTGAAATACACGTGAAAATGCAATTCGAACTTACAGTTAACTGATAGGGTAACCATTATACACAGGACTGCACGTGACCCAAAAATTGAAACCAAACCGAGAACTTGAGTCAGAATAACACTTTCTGCCAATACATGGGATGCAAAACTGCATGTAAAAAACGCTTGGCAAGCAATAAACCAATCTTTAAAACAGCAAATTTAATTATAAACCAGCCTCATACCTCTGAATATGGTCGGCCATAGAGTTGAAATCTTCTTATCAAATAGATAGAAACATCCAAAATACATGTAATTTCCCGGTTTCTTTGCCATATAGCCTTCGAAACACACCTCCCATAGCCCCAATCTTACAAAGCGATTTTGAGACTGAGGATATCTGGCATACCAGTAGGGCATAACCATTGAGACAAAACCGCATGTGAAGCCAAATGTAGTAAATGTGAAGCATGTCCAAAACAAAGGAACTTTGTGGTGACTTTCCATCTTGTTAAGGGTATTTCAACCCATTAACTTATATCTTAGATACTGTGAATCATTTACCCACGTTTATTGGATCGTAATAAATTTTGTCAAAATGACAAATTAAAACAACATAAAAAAGAGTAATCCTTGAAGATTTTACCGATTTAATTATTTTTTATAACTGTCATACGTATAAAAGACCACATATGTCTGCAAAAAGAGAGAAATAAAAGTTGACATTATTATGAACGGAACAAATAGTTTAAAGAGAATGATTCGAAGATGCAACGGATGTTCTAGTTTTACAACTAGCTACCAGTAGCACCTACCTAGTAGCACCTAGTCGAATAGAAACCAGAAGTCAGACGAGGAGAGGTAGGAAAGATATATTTGATACGTTACCAATATATCGAGGAACCTTTACTATAAGCTGGCTAATGAACGTAGGAGCTGTGTCCCACGCCGAGTCGAAACGTGATCTGGTGCGGATGCATGACCGAAAGCCTTCAGCTAAACAAGTCCACTTAAACAACGTGGTCAGCATCCAATGTCGAACACTTAATGAACTATTGATTTTGGGGAATTATTTACAGCTACAGATCACTCCCCCCCCCTAGTGAGGTAGTGATGCCCCTAAGACGTCACCAGCCAGAAGTTTAAATCCAACGAGTTTGTCGCTGGTAAACACTCTTCTGATAGCTTGCTTCGTTTAGCAGCGTCTGGTCGTCTTTCCTTAAACTATGGGACCAAAATGTACAACATAGCAATAAAGAAATATAGTACAATGAAAATTTCGGTTTCTTGCGAAACTTCGTCGTTCTTTTCCAGCCGTCCTGGAAAAGAGGAGAATAAAACGTGTGAGTGCATGTCGAAAATACACTCGTACTTACGTAAGGACACAAGATGAGCGAAAAAAATAAACTGATACACTTACAAACAGCGTAAAAGCGATCGGAAAAAAATGGTTTGTTTTGGGGTTTTTTTTATATATAAAAAGTATATATATATACGCTCAAAAAAAATAATAAAAATGTTTTGTTTTGTTTTTTTTTTATAAATAAAAAAAATGAGCATATTAAAAAAAATTTATAATAAACAATGAATGGGTAATTCAAGATAAAGCTTATGTCCTACGTGCAATATTCAATAAGATGTTCTGGAAATCTTACTCGTCTTCCAGAACGCGTTGTTTTAGGTTTTTCTATCGATGTTGACGAAGTATCAAGTTGTGTGTCGGTTGTCGTGTAGGGTACTACGAGTGTAGTAGCTGTGTCGTTTGCTTGTACCGAAGGAAAATCGACGTAGCTAGGGTTTCCTTCTAGGTACGCAGCTTTGAGTCGATCGATACTGATACTATCTTTCGTACCGTTCTTATCGACTACATAGTACTTAGGTTCGCGTTGAAGAACTTTGAAGGGTCCTTCGTATGCTGATTCGAGGGGTCGTCGATGTGAGTCTCGACGAACGAAGACGTGTGTACTATGTCGTAATTCGGGTTGAACGAAAACATCAGTTGATTGAGGTCGAGTGTGAGCAGGTTTAACTGAACGCATAGCATTTGTAAGCCTACTCGTGTAAGAGTTTAGATCCATGTTCAATGAAGAAGCTGAAGGATCCACAAATTCTCCTGGGAGTCGGAGTGTCGTTCCGTAAACGAGTTGAGATGCCGTGTATCCAATGTCAGCTTTCACTGCATTGCGGATACATAGCAAGACGAGTGGAAGAGCGTCTGTCCATTGTGAAACGTTTGAAGATGATAATGAAGTTTTTAGTTGTCGATGAAAACGTTCTACCAACCCGTTTGCTTATGGGTGGTAGGCGGTCGTTCGGAAGCGCGTGATTCCTAATAGTGTGGTCAGACAACGGAAAAGTCGAGATTCGAATTGGCGTCCGCGGTCTGTAGTGGTGGTTGAAGGGCAGCCGAAATTTGCTACCCATCGTTCGACGAAAGCGCGGGCCACGGTTTCAGCAGTAATGTCCTTAATCGGTACTGCTTCTGGCCATCGAGTAAAACGGTCTACGCATGTTAGGAGATATGAGTATCCGTTCGAGTCGGGTAAGGGTCCTACTAAATCTAGATGGACGTGGTCGAAACGAGTTTTGAAAGAGCCTAAGGGACATTTGTTGTGTCTGATTACCTTAGATTTCTGACAGCTTACACAGGAGCGTGCCCACTCCCTCACGTCTTTATTCATGCCAGGCCAACAAAAGCGTTCGGCTATAAGTTTGATTGTTGCACGAGCACCTGTATGAGAAAGATTGTGCAACGCATTGAAGACGTTGCGGCGATAATGATTTGGTACAATTGGACGATCCCTACCTGTAGATGTGTCACATAGTAAGGTTTCCTTTCCTATTCCCATCTGCCTAATACTTAGTTTAAGAGTTGTTGAGGATAACTCATGCTGAAGATCAATGTCTTCTTTATGAAGCTGAGCGAGTTTAAGAAGGTCGATTCCTGGGAAACTGTTCAAAGACCTAATTCGAGACAAGGCGTCTGCGACTACAATGTTTGCTCCAGAAATGTGTTGTATGTCTGAAGTAAACTGCGAAATGTAGTCGAGTTGTCGAGACTCTCGCAGTGAGTACTTGTCTGAAGATGAATTTAAAGAGAAGGTAAGAAGTTTGTGATCGGTAAAAAGCGTGAATTCTTTTCCTTCGATGGAATGTTGGAAATGCCGTACAGCACAATACATAGCTAGGAGTTCCCTACCGAACGTGCTGTACCTAGATTCCGCGTCTAGCAACCGTCTCGAGAAAAATCCTAAAGGTTGCCACGAGTTGTTAACCCATTGTTGTAAGACTGCTCCGATTGCTGAGTCGGATGCGTCTACGGCGATACTAATGGGCGCTTGAGTGTCCTGATGAGCAAGCAGGGTTGCTTTAGCGATGTGTTCCTTAACTGTGGAGAATGCTTTACGGGCAATGTCGTCTAAACTAATTGATTTCACATTTCCACGAAGCTGATCGGTTAACGGTTCGATTAGGGATGCGCATTTGGGTATGAACCGTCTATAGAAAATTACGAGTCCGTTGAAAGTTCGTAAGTGCTTGATCATGGTCGGTTCTGGGTAATCCAGAATAGCCGCCACTTTGCTCCTAAGTGGTCGGATGCCTTGGGCATCAATGGTGTGTCTTAGGAAGTTTAAGGAGTTTGTTCCGATTTGGCATTTCTGTATGTTGACAGTAATGCCATGCCTTTGGAGTCGATCGAAAACAATGTCCAGATGCTTGAGATGCTATTCTCTGTCCGGACTTGCTATTAGACAGTCATCAACATACGCATGTACGAAGTTGAGATCTCGGAAGACGTCGTCTATAAACCTTTGGAAGGTTTGAGCCGCGTTTCTTAAACCAAAAGGCATTCGTAGAAATTCGTAAAGACGGAAGGGAGTGATGATGGCGGTTTTAGGAATGTCTTTAAATAGTTATCGGATACGCGGCACTTCACAATACTTCCTTCGTATATTTATCGAATGAAATAACCTGATAGCTAACAAAAGCAGAAGTCGAGAATGATGGAATAAGAGAATACGTTTGAATTATCAACAGATAAATTGCTGTGTAATATCTGAGCAGATATTCTTTGTGGGTGTGTTACACAGTTTACTGAAGCGCAATTTGTCCCGACGCAACCAGCTTGCATTGTGTTAACCAAAGTTGAGACGGTTAGTTTGGAATATTTATAGAACGATTTAATTGAAACTGTAAACTTCTCAGATAGAGCTGCACAAATAGTGGTAGTAAAGAAATCTAATGAAAGAGTAGAGGTAAAGACACGCGCACCATAATCGAAATCAGAACAAAGTGATTGGGTAACAACGGTTCTAAAATTCATCATATATACAAAAGTACAAATTTACCTTAACAAATATTACCACACAGTTATTCAACCAACAGTTGTTCCCAGAACAATCAATCTAAATTACAATAAATAGCAAATTGATAAGAAATATAAGAAATTTACCGAACACACCAAAAAGTAAGTCTTATTCTATCCTTTCCGAACAGATCAAATAAAAATTCCGTTTGAGAGGTTGTTCTATGATACAAAGTGTTTCAATTTCTGGGAAGGTGCTCCAATTTACAAACAAAATGCACGATCCACAGTCAAATCAAACAGCACAATCAAAGAGCGAACACTGAATATGACAGCCACCAGAATAATAACAATTAAAACAAATTAGATACAGTTCAAGAAGAAATATAAAAACCCAATGCAAGCGATAGAAAAACTGAGAAAGCTATTATGAAATGAAACTTCAGAATCGAATAATGGCATCAAAAATACTAACAATAATGTACAAATAAATAAAACATTAAGAAGAAGCTATGAATGTATGTATGGAGGGATTTTCACATACGAAACGTTCAAAATGGATCTTACAATGTTCATTATATGCTACCTCGATAAGAATCGATGGAAACAGGGAAAAATCGCACAAAGATTGGAAAGAGTTTGGTGCAGGGTTCGAGGAATTTTCGGCAAGTGCATCGGACACACAAACCAAATCTTTAAATAATGATGCACACTCGAGATAATCAGCTAAATCTTCCGCTCTAGTTAACTTCAGATACATCAACGACACAGATGCCTAAGAATACTGAAAAGAAGACTTGAACCAGAAAGTCAGCGAGAAAAATCGAATGCCGTTGCAAACTAGTCGTCAGGCTACAAGTAGATCCAAGGAAAAAATCTTATTACGGAGAGGATGTTTGGACGCCCTCCGGAACTACGACGGGGGCTTCAGAGGCCTTGGAGGAGCCGAAGAGTTCCATCCAATCAGAATATCAACGTGGCATGCTACTACTGGCCAATGGCATAAAACTGCCTCTCTTGCGAATTGGTCGAATTATAATGTTACTATAACAAACGCTAATATAAATAAGCATCCATGATTTTCTGTGTATTTGTAAACTTGCCCAACTAGCACTTTCTACAGTATTCTTTTACTTTTTATTTGCTACATGTGAGGTTATAGCGCCTGAGTGGTTTTACGTGGCACATTCAGAATCTAAGCTTTAGATATAACATTGCCTTAATGCGATTTTACCATATTTTGCCTCTGTATTTGCTCGCAAGCACGTGTTCGCCTCTATGCTTCGAATCCGCTTGATGTGCTCATAGCTTTGTGATCTGCGCCATCCTCTGATAAACTGTATTTGCCGCTTCTCATTACCTTCAGATTGATTAATGAAGCGAATCCACTACATGAAAAATGAAGAAAAACTGTTACTGATTGTTGTACGCAGTTATGCTTATGAAACTCGTTTGGCCAAACAAGCGAAAATGTACATGAAGGTGAACATATAAACTATGAAACAGAAAACCCTTTACGCACAAAAGTCGTTGTTTGTCGTTCTCTAGAGTATATTAAAAATTAGATTACTTTGGACAGAACAAATATAAATGATGCAATCAAGATGCTGCATGACGCAGAGAAAAGAGGAATAGGAGAAATGAGCTAAAATTTCCCACATACAGTACTCGTCTGACTATTCTAGCGTTCACATAATTCTGTCAGAACATAAAAGAAATGAGTTTCTTAGCGGTTATTAGCTACTTTAACCATGGTCTGTGATTGTTGGTGATTTTGC